TAAGGTGGAGTGGCCTGCAAGGGCTAACAGTTGTAAACACAATCAAACTGATTAATGCAAGATTCTGAAGAAGGACGAACGCATGGCGTATCTTGGAAATGACGGCTCAACAGTTCCGGGCAGCTTCCCATACAGATAGCCCTGAGCAAAACCTATGAAGGAAATCTTCCGCCTTCTAAGCGCAACCTCAAGAAGAAGCCCAGAGTAGAGCCCAGCTAGAAAGAGTAGAAGGGAGGTTGCTGGCCTGTCTTCAAGAGGTAGGAGGGCAGCCCAGACATTTCTAGAGGGGGAGTGAACTATAAAGCGCTACATCAGAGAGAGGATCAATGAAGGAGCCGGGGCGATGCTAATGAAAAAGAATAGCTCGATACATCCGTCTCCTCCACAGTCGAAGTTTCTCGCTCAATGGACTCTAAGGGTATGGCCAGTAACGCATTCCTAGTGAATGAGAAACCGTAGTAAAAGCTGCTTCCAAAAGCTAAGCGCAATCTGACGGTCATCAGAAAGTGAGAGCCAACTTGTAGGAGCACATCTACACACCTAGAAATTGTGTGACATTAAATCCGAATTTTTTCTGGTAATTACCTGTTATGTGCATACACGAACTCCCGGACCAGTTCAAAGTAAAGCAACGGGCGTTTTTGTTCCTATACCGTAGGATGAGCCGAATATCAGTGGGGAAGCACATGAAGCCACCATTTCAAGGAGAGAGGGACGTGAGGCGAGGGACCATTTAAATCACCGGAAATATATACTGCGCCAGTGACGGTCAGGTAGAGCTCTTAAGGGCACAGTTCTCGACAAGAGTTGGTTTGGAGCTTTCTCAATGTAGAAAATCTAGAACCATTCGATGGGCTACATGGGGTATCGCAGGGTCGGAAAGCGACGTGAAATCTGGCGCAGTAAGGATTCAAGAGCCGGTTCCGGCGCGTCCTGGCCCTCATACCTCTCATGAAAGGACCTCCTTCAATCTCAAGATGCCCTATATTTTAGGATTTCCGCAGACTTTCCCGTTTTCTTCTATCGATGCCTTGTTCTGCAATTCTGCCCTTTCACCAACTGAACGTAAATGAAGTTGACGTGAAATGTACCTTCGGTATAGAGACTTACTCAGTTACGTTACATTCCTATTAGACTTTTCTGAAGTCTTAACTCCTCAGCTAATAAGACCACAAAGTAACATGAACAACAAAGTCAAATTTACAAACCTCACAAAAAGAGTAGGAGGGGACATGAACGGCTTGGCTTTTTCTATGATTGAGTAGCTTTTGCACTGGTTGTGGCCTTCTTGTACAGAACACAATGATGGGTGATAATACAAGATGATTTCTGAACATTCTTGATTTAACAAATGAAGACGCAGGTGAAAATCATGCGATAGTTGGAAGAATTGTTCGAAGAGTGTATTCGTTAGATATTCCCCATGCATGGCGCATTTCTAAACAGCTCAATAGGTATTTTCTTGCTGTCTTCTACATCTACCAGTCCTGTTCACTTAAATCGATTAACGGTATGACTCCATAGTCCACTCGCTATGTAATTGAGGGCATAGGCAGTGAAGAGCCAAGAGGGGCACTATCGCGCGCATGGCCAGGAATCGAATCCCGAACGAGTACCTGTCCGAACTAAGCAGTCCTCCTATCTCTCTAGGGTTTTTTGATCAGTACCAGACTTCTCTAGGAGGATAAAAGCACTGATCTGTAATTTACTAATCATCCCTATGCATTGTATATGCCACACAGCTACTACGATTATGAGTAGAAGTCCCCGTGAACGAGATCGATCAATGGCGGAGGACTTATTCTTGAGACTTTTACGACACAATATTATCCAAAGCGCTCCTTCTGAAGAAAGAAACAAAGTAGGGAAGAAGGATTCATGAGAGTTCTCCTGCAATAGCTTGGCCATGCTGATTGAACTGGCCACCACCACGACATCCGAGTCATTCGGGAAAATCACGAATCCACCGACCAACCTCCTTTCCCCTCCCTTCCTCGCTGACCATTGAATGATATTCTGGAGAAACTCGAATCTCCTAAACACTAGCTCCCTTCGCGACGAATGAGTAGAGTATTTTGTGTAAGAACATTCTTGGTATGCCATAGTAAGGCTAAAAGTTCGGACCCGCACCCAGCATGAATAGAGCTCGTCATAGAGCAAGTCAAATACGTCGTCAGATGATTCTAAACCTATCCATTGGCATTTGTGGAAAAAGCAAAGAAGCAAAATCCAGCCAGCCACGTAGACAGGATACCGGTCGACATTGCACTGGCTGCTTTGATGCCGACTTCTGGACATTGTACTGCTGTAGGTTATGTAGGCGCCCAAAATATTGCCCTTCTATCTCGGACCTTATTCCAAAACCCTTTGACGCTACAAATTGCTTTCCTCTGAACAAAGCTCATACTTTTAGGTTTCCTTAGGAGAAAAGGACGAGTTTGTGAGAGCTTTCCAAACAAACATCGTTACTAATGACCTCCTAGTGGTCCAACTGCCTGGACATAGCCATAGACTTCCTAAAATTCAGGTGAGTGCCATCACAGAGGACGGAATGAAAGCGTTCCGATAACACTATCTTACAGTCTCAGTCTGACATATCATTCTCTGTAAAATGTTCCGAATGGTAGTGCCACCAAATTAATTCCATCGTGGGATACATTTTGGGTTCCTAGCTTCTTCAGAAAAATCTACTTTTGAATAGAGCTGTGTCGTTCTGCCATTACCATACTCATAGTTGAGAGATCAAATTTCATCGCAGTTTCATACCAAGGAAGCCAAGTAAGCCTTCTACTCCTCTGTAATCAGCGAATCGGTATTTAACAACATGGAACAGCAAACAGGCTTTGGTCAGGTCAATCTGACACCATGTTCGGCTTTCTGTAAGGGATGTGAACTATAGTGCATGTGGTTTCGTGCTTGAGGACGTTCTTTCAGAAGTTCCTTTCATTTAGCCGGTAGTGTTGGTAAATAGATGACAAATCGACGTTCCCTGGCAATTTACGGCCAACATAAGGGACATGCACGCGCAACTGCATTACGGCGTGAACAGGATAGGTGTTTACTCCTCAATTTAGTGGCACAATATTATTTTTGCAGACGAGGCGCTCTAGTCCACCTCTTTGGCCCGGTTTCGCTAAAGATAACGTAACTTTTGTCTAAAATGCCCGCCTACGGATGGACGTGTTGACGTGGCACCGCTCGCACGCAGCTAAGTTCGGCATCCGTTTCTTATTTGTAAACGGGAGCGACGTCGGACGAAATGAAATAAAGCAATGCTCTCATCGTTGCTACTGATTTCTGCAACCCTCTTCAATGAACTTTTCTCATCACGAATTTTACCTTCGCGATACTCGTACGAAGTCCAAAATGATTTAAGCCATGACTGGGATTTCTTTCTACGCTTTTAATTCGCTGTTTCACCGACTGTGCTAAGGAAGGCAGACCGTAACCACTAGTGTTTCCAAGTGGCATCACCGCTCCGCGACCGCACGCTTCGCAACCATGCGATTCGCGTGTTTTTTTTCTAACGAATTTTCACGTATTTTAGGAGATAAACCATATTCTACGTTCAATTTGCATTCACAGTACACATTTCTCATAATTTACTATTTAATTGATGCCAAAATAAGACAAAAAACATGACAAAGAAAAAAAACCAACAGTGGCGAAACGCGATGTGATGACAATGGATGTGTGTAACTCTTCTTCGAAATGAGTAACAAACAACGAGGGCCAGGGGAACTGGGGTCCAGGGGGCGGGTCAGGTCTGAGTGGGCGTGATGGGGAATGATACAACCAATATTTCGAGAATACAATTGAGAGACAGATAGACAGAGAGAGCACGCGTAAGTGCAATAATCGATCAATAATAATCATAATAATAAACAAACGAGTATTTCACACAGTGACAACATTTAATGCGAAAATATGAGCTTCATAGGTAGTGAGGACGGGAATGGGCCGTCCGTTCATGCGGACAACCATCACTGGATCTCAGAACCATGGGATGGGATCCCTTGGGACATGTGGACCACCAGAAATTCCATCCATAGGTACCAGTTGAGATTAGCTGTTATGAGATGAGACAACAAACTCTAACAGGGAGACTTTTTGAAGACTAATTGCTAAGGGGGAGCATTCCAACACAACAACGGGATATTTTTGGGGAATGACGGGGGACGGGGCAGGAACACACAGCGAACCGGGACCTCTTGTTGGGACAAATAAAAAGAAAAAACAATATAGCAACTCTGAGATATTTCAACGACGATGATGACAACTTGACGGGGCGGGTGTGTGTGATGAAAGATGATGAAAGAACAACGCGAAATATGACTATTACATATAAGTTATTGTACACAACAGAAACATCATCAACATCAGTACTCTAGAAAATAACACACGTGTTGTGAGAGACAGCCGAGAAAGAGAGCACATAACACATAAATATATATTAGGCATAAACGCATACACAACTCTCACACTACGCTGTCACGTCAGGTTCCACATACGCGAGCGTATGCGACGCGGGCATCAAAGCGTCTTCTATGTATATGTATGTATATAGGAAGATGACCCCAAACAGGACCCATTCGAACGGCGAAAGATGAGGAAAGGATGATGGGTCTGGCGGCGATGAAGAAATAGATGACAGTACGGACGGAGGAGGACGAAATGATGATTGGAAGGAAGCGAGGAAGATTGCAAACAACCCGTGACAACCCGCAGGGCATAGAGGGACGGAGGACGAGACAAGAGAGAACGAAACGAATGGATGACTGACGAGTAACGAGATGTATGATTTAGTTGGAGAACATACGCATATCAAGCATCGAACAATGCCAAGTGGATTACGGTAGACTACGGTATTCAGTAAAATCACTAAAATACTAATTTAGGTGCCTATTTACTGAAATCTAACCGTTTTTCTTGGCAGATACTCGTTGCTTGACCTTCACACGGTGTGCTACAGGGCCTGGAGCTAGCCACACATTACACAACTACCGACCATTTGGAATGACGTCATTTCCGTCACGCTTGATCTGACCGAGTTGTTGGAGGCCGGCCGAGAACGGCTTCGCGTACTGTGCACCGAGTCCTTGCAATCCCAACAGTGCCGGATTGAACAACGGCGACTGCGACGTCGGCGTTGCACCCAACGAGGCTTGCTGGGCAGCTGCCAGACCGGCCAGTCCTGGGGGTAAGGCACCGGCACTGGCCGGGAAACCGGGCGGAAGACGTTGTTGCTGTTGCTGTTGTTGTTGCTGTTGTTGCTGCTGTTGTTGCGCTGCAGCAGCCGCAGCCTGTTGAGCGCTCAACAGAGCCTCAATACCACCTCGTCCAGCCGCCGACGTTTGACTATACAACCGCAGGAGTGCTTCACGGGGATCGACAGTATGTTGTTGCTGAGCCTGGGCCTGGACGGCTTGTTGTTGCTGTGCCTGAGCTTGGGCTTGCGCCTGAGCCTGAGCATGAGCCAGCAGTAGGCTCTGTTGTTGTTGTTGTTGTTGCTGTTGTTCCATGTGGGCACGATAGATGCCGAGATCGAGTTGAGATGGCTGACCGGGTTGCTGAGCTTGTGCCTGGACTTGAGCCTGAGCATGTTGCTGGAGGGCTGTAGCAAACGCCGCTGCTCTTCCGGGGTCGAGTTGTTGAAGCTGAAAAAGAAGCGCTTGGACCAGAAAAGCTTTTAGTAAGAGATATTTATGTAGAAACTTTATGCCTACCATTTGGAATTGTAACAATTGAGCCTGATTCAAAAGCATGTGTCCGGTAGCGCCGCTTAATCCTGGAGGTAGGCTAGACGCCGGCGGTTGATTCCGTGCAAGTTGGGCTGCCTGTAACAAAAGTAAATACTTTACTCGAAAACAAGTTCGAACTCCTCAATGCACATCCATCCTTTTAACAACGTATTTCGAGAAAAATTTTCGCAGGATGAAGTTTCTAATTGAAAACGAAGTAAGTAATCCACAAGTACCTGTTGTTGTTGGAACTGCTGAGCTTGTTGTTGTTGCTGTGCTTGCAATTCCCGTTGTTCTCGCTCTCGTTGAGCCTGGGCCTGAGCTTGTGCCTGAGCGGCAGCTGCAGCGGCCGCTGCAGCTTGCTGCTGTTGTTGTTGTTGTAGAAGCTGTTGTTGATGTTGTTGCTGCATTTGTTGCATGATCGCCTGTAACATCGCTTGCTGGGCAGCTGCCGCGTCGCTAGTGCCGTTCGTCAAGGAGCCGGCTGCAGGAGCAGGAGCCGCTAATGACAGTCCACTAGCACCGAGGGTAGCCAGACCGGGTGGTAACGTCAAACCGGTCGGTTGCTGTGGAGGACGTGGCATTGCTGACGGCGGCCGTTGTGGGGTTATCTGCGTTTGCGGAGGTTTTGGAGTGGCTCTGAAATTAGATGGCGATAAGAAAAACTTATTGGCAATTCGCCAAGTCGTTAATTGAAGTAAAAACTTACGCAGCAACTCGTCGGGCTTCTTGCAACACCGAAAGCATTTGTGGATTACCGGACAACGCCAGACTTTGCAGTGCTTGGGGAGGTAATCCGGCCAACGTCGGGTACCTGAAACAAAAAAGGTTTACCGAAAGTTGCCCACCTGGCCCTATTTGATTTTCGGAACGTTTAACTCTGGGAATTTTATAAAAGACCCACTTACCCCACACCAGGTCACGTACGCTGCATCGTTTCCCTTCTCACCACATGAGAACACCCTTCAATCCCAACACAAGTGTTTGCCAACCATCAAGCGCTACAAGCGCGTCAGTCAACCGAAGGAAACGACATCCGGAGCAAATATTTGCGCCCCACATATACCAACACTACCCTCACTCAACCCCGCACTTGAGCGGTTCTTCAAATATCTGGAAAGAAACGGATCAACGCGACTATTCTTGTAATTCTACACGTCTTCCGTATAGATTGACACAGCTTGCAATTCGATACTCTCCGCCAGGCTATTCCTGACACGTGGGAAGCGCCATCACTACGCAAACTAAGACTGAGTGCAGGCTGTAGGACATGTAGATGATGGGCGGGGCGTTCCCTGGGTGGGCGGAGCACATGCATGGGTCCTAGTTCAATTTCAAAATGCTTTGAATGCAAAGAAACGTAATGAAAGCGTAACCAACCCAGCAGGAGCTGTTGCAGACGACGTTGACGGTAGACAGTGGGGTGGTTGTGGGGCAGCACCTCGAGCCGCCGACAATGCTGCCTGCTGCATGGCTTGCATTTGAGCAGCTACACTGGTCGTATCGACTCCGGTTGGTAACGATGGAGCTTGTGAGGTGCTGGCCACAGATGGAGGTGCTTGCACGGTGGCGGCACGAACTCGTTGCTCGGCTTGAGCCACGGCGGCGATTTGCTTGTCTTTTTGTTGTTGTGATTGTCGGTATGCAGCAATGTCATGCGCAATCTTCACATGCATTCCACACCATCGGCCAGGTTTCTGAAAACACACGTAATAATTATACATGTAGGATACCGGAATAATCAGTATTATAAGCAGTTTTTTCTCCCATCTCCCATCATGCAATGGAAAATGGGAAATTGCTAGAGCCATCGGAATAATATGATAATCATATGCTGGACGCTATGACAAATGGATGGCTCGATGACCGCCGGCTCCGAAAGTGCAATCGTTTGTGTGGGACGAAGATGTTTTTTCGAAAAGTGTTGAAAAGGAAGCACCCGGTGGTGTAGGATACAGGGGACGGTAACGACGGCTTCCCGTACCAGCACACGCCCCAATGGGAAGAGTTTGGGCTGAACTGGTCAGGTATTACCCACCCTTCTAACAGATGCGCTTATAAGGAGCACAAATTTGAAGACCCATTACGTCGTTACTATTTTTACGCCATTTAAAACTGAAGACTGCTTTTTACATTTTCAGCTGGTCGCCTGTAGAAAACCCCTAAGGCTGTTCTCTTGCCTATGCCTCAGCTCTGGCTATGTATAGCTGTTTGGTGCTGTAGCCGGAAACGAAAAGCCAGTCACCTCACAGTCCGGAAATTCGCCCGGATATGTGGTGCTGACAACGAGGCGCCCCATTTCTCAGGAAAGCAGCAAGATGTACGACGGGTCCTAGGCGACCAATACAGCATTGATGATTGGGTATGCCGTCGTCATCACGACGAGAACGCCACGACGATGACGACGAAGGACGAAGGAATTATGAATGTGCACTCGTGTGAAAAATGTATGAGGATTCGATGGAGGGTGTCGCTAGTCGATACCTCTTAGGCTTGGATGAAAGTGCTCATAGTGCGGATATATTCGGATTTGCGCGTCTAGAACTGGGCAAGTTCCCAGACAGATAAAAACAACATAAGTATATTCGAAATTATGTGGAAGTACAACATTGTGATGTGTCGGGGGCACTTTGATGACATTCATAAACTTCATAGGAAAACTGTTTTTCAAAGGCCTTCCCAAAAGGAAGGCCATGCCCAAACTACTCCTTCAGGGAGGGGGATTCAAAACCACGAAGAATCCACAGTTCGGGTCTCCCAGACCATTCCACCCTTCTCCTCAAATGGGAAATGACAGCAGGATGATCGGAACTATTCAAGAAAGTTCATAGGTAGCTCATCGTGTACAAACAACTAGTATTTGTAATCCTATACGGGCCCATCACAGTATATCGAGAATCTCCAAAAAATAGCAGCAACGCAAAGTGCATTTCAGGGACTCTATTCGGCGAATCGGGTGGAACAACTATTTCCAGTTCATGAGCGAATGTTCGTCTGCACTAATTGTTATCAATTTTCACGCAATTCGATATTAGCCCAAACATAAAAAGGATGCTGCTAGGCTCTGATTACTTTAATAACATCGGCCAACTAGAAAAAACCTAGTGCACCAATGAACGAATTAGATGAAAATTTACTGGAAAACCCCTCCAGTTAATCAGTAATGACTTCGCCAGCTTCATTTTTCCCTAACCCGAGCCATAGTTGGCCAGAAATGCGACCAGTCAGTGACTCAAAGAATTCGTATGCTTTTCGAGATCCCTCTCTTTGCTTGAACCTTCGCTGAGGCACTTGCAGGTGAGGGTATGAATAAGTAAAGAAGAAAGCAGAATGAGAAATTGAGCCAAAGACAACATACCCTCGGTAGAAGCGATGAAGCTGGTGGCACAATTGGTCGCCCAAGCAGAGCAGCACCGGCCAGTTGTGGACCAAGGGCAGCGTTTGCCGGAAATGGCAAAGCCGAAGCACTGGCTGGACCCAAACCCGTCGGAGGCAGTACTGGATTTCCGCTGACAGCTGCGGCAGCCAAAGCGGCTTGTTGAAGCTGTAGGGCTTGCTGTTGTTGTTGCTGCTGCTGGAATAATGAGAATTTGCAAGATGAGAAACACCCACATACGATGAGAAAAGAGAAGAAGACGCAAGTAATGAGGCCCTCGAATGGGAAACAGAGAAAAAAGTTTGCCAAAAAAGTTGTTTTGACGGCGGCGGCAACAGCGGAAGTGCAAGGGTGGTGTGCATGCAGTGAGGCACAAAATATGTCCAACAAAAGAGAGCAAAGGGTAGCGGGAAAAATAATTGGCGTTATAAAGCGGGTTACAATTATCAGAATGCAGACTAATAAGTGCTATGAAGGCTAATAAGGGGGTACGAAGATTCAGGAAAATGCAGATGTCATATGGGGTCTTGGGCGATCGATATCGTCGTCAGACCGTGAAGGGAAGAGAAAGGGATAATTACTACGATAGCTACACATAATACGAACCTAATTTATCACATCTCGTTATCGGCCTGAATGTTTCTCCGACCTTTGGTAACAGGGAAGGCACAAAGGCCGATAATGAGAAGTAAAAGGTTGGATTCCTGTAATGCCATTACCATTGAAGTCCTTATAATTACAAAGTTACAAAGGTGAACGAATTGAGAACTGTGGTATAAAATGACAGAGCTCTATTCAAATGAAAGCTTCACCCTTCTCTCATAATACCGTAGCTGCTTCAGAAGAAATATATTCATGCAAAATTTTGCAAAAAGTTAAAAGAGCAGTTTCGTAGTGAATAGTGTTGCGCTCCGCCTATTTATATGAAAGCTCCGCCCAATCCTCCAACGGATTTGCTCTTCCATTACGATTCGTCGATTTGTACATCGACATTGAACGGAACTGAACCCGTCTATACCGAAGACCCACACCGAATGCCAGTGCCTCTCGTCTACAGCTGATTACAGCGAAATGCAGTGGATGTCCAGAAAACTAGCGAGATGATCTGCCTGTATCAACGAATCCATAAAAAACCGAAGCCAAATCTCGTGATAGCCCTTGAATGGCACCTGAACACACATATACACACGGAACTGGCTACAACCATCAACGTCCTTTCATACGCGGAACGACCATTCGTCAAAATATACGACAACGACCGGTCTGTGGAACGCACGCATTGCTCGAAAAAAACAAAAATCGTCGCCACTTTTCCACAATTGGTCATTCCCGAACAGGCCACCAACAAATCCCCCGAAAGACCACTAAGCGGCAATTTGATTGAAAAACTGCCCCAGTGAACAATTCCGGCTGTATGTGGCTTGTTTTTGAAGAGTGCTACGATCGATTCCCTTGGAATTATATAAAATAAAAAGCAATTGCGTTAGTCTAGGCTTGGAAAGCACATTGAAGAAGAATTATTCCCAGTCGGTGAAGATCCCTAACTAGAACTGGCCGAGCTGCCCATTTCAGTATCCTATTTCGAGATCATCTCGTTTCCTTCGTTCCACGCCAACGCGTCCGCGTCCTCTCATCCAATTAGGGCCTCCCAATCGTATGAAGCAACTCAACAGCCTCTTCCGCTTGTTGCCCATTCGAGCAACGTCCCCGCCATCGCCGTTGAGAGACACTCCCTCTCCTTTCACGAGATATCCCTGTCAACGAGGCGCTGAGTGCTGTTTCGCGGTCGAGCGCCCGAACAGGAGTCACTCACAGGGCTCTTTGAAAGAAACGTGGGACGAGTGGGAAAGTTGCCGTCGTGTCCTTCGGTTTTAAACCAAGCAAGGTCACCATCGCAAAAAAAAGGTTGGACAATACGAACGTACAGGACATGTACTTGACTTCCACTCAGAACCGCACTTTTTTGGATTACTGTACGATTCCCCTTGGCAGTGATTCAGATGGATCACCTCATTGAGCTACTGCTTTCTTACATGTAGATAAACGATCACCTACTCACTGTAGAAGACTTTGGAATGTTTCCTACTTTGACCCCTTAGGAACTGTCGCAGCAGTAACCTTGCGGTTCTTCGGGTACGTAATGGTCTCGCCCTTCAACTAAGGGTAGGGTAGGCCGCAATAGCTGTCAGAGGAGGAAGAAGGCCTCAGAAAAAGTCACGAAGCTTCTGACTTTTTTTGCTAAAGCTATTACCAGACTTGGATCCGAGTTCTCAACTCTTTTGCCGGGTCTTTCCGTTTCTGACAAGAAGTTCGACTCAATCTTCCTTTTCCCCTCTTGACGGAAATCCCTAACGAACATCCTTTCTCCTCGATTCGTCCTCGCTCAATGACCGTGCGCGCTAAAAAGCGGTCGGCCCCTACAGCCCCGTAATAAAACCGGCTTATCGCTGGCATCAGCTGGCTCGCTGGCTGCCTCCACAGCATGCGCCGTAATCGACCGACGACCACGTCACTCTCGGTCGCCCTGACGACAAAGATCGCCGCTTCCGAGTGGGACGGTGCTATTTTACATAACACAATTATACTCTATAGAAACCCGATTAGAGGTCTATTGAAGCAAAGCTTAGCGTAGCCGATTCTTCTCGGCAACATAATTAGCTAAGCCACGATAAGAAAACAACCACGCCTGCAGAATCCTTCAGAAACATCCCGGCACAGTCCATGGTTTCTTCATATTTCATCCACAGTGAAAGGGACCAAAATTGCACATCAGAAAATGGATCATCACATTAGCAACCAGAACGATTCTTTTCGCAAACAGGGGATGAGCCTAATAAGAAATAGATGCTCGTCCTACCAAAACAACTGAAAACGACCCACATGGTCGCTGAGGTCGGGGTACAAGCTTGAACCTGCCCATATGGATGGTTGAGATGCAGTGAGCCCAGTCCCGTTTCCTGGGAACTTCAGAACACACTAGCCAGATGAACCAATACATCTTCGAAGTCATTTCTTTGGCTTTGTGTATGCAGCCTATTCATTCGCATGTGGTCGATTACATTTGCATGGGAAATGAACACACAGACAGCTTTGCACAAACAACCTATTTGTCATGCTTTTTTTTTTGTTACATGAGAAAACATAGGCCAGCCATTGTTCATACTGGTTCTCATGGGGGTGAAGTTGGTTATTTATAGGTCAGCCGAAGGTACAATCTATAAAGAAGCCCCCCATCGGGGCCATAGCAACCAACTCGATTCAGAGAGGATATAGAGGCTTCACAGAAAACATTCGGTTCCTTGGCTACGGCTTTGCAGGCAATTATTACGTAGGAGACGTAGCCTTCAAAAAAGTATTGAGAAGGTCGTCTTCATCTCAGCAGTCTCGAACAAAGGACAAGTCGCAAAATAAGTGGATTCTTCGGAACATGGCTGAGATGACGGCATGAATTGCCTTCACCAGAGCCACAGCACATCGCACCTCATTGCCAAGTCAATTTCATTGCGAATAGCAACTGCTTTTTTCGATGGCATTTCCATTACGATTCACGGAAAACTTCTTTCACTGAGCTTATTCAACAAATGTGAATAAAGCGTCGACGACATGCTATAAAATGGATGAAGAAATGCAATTTCCGCCTCCGTCCCAAATTCAATCACTTGAAATGGCACAAATTCTATTGTGCACTTGCTTCAATGAGCAGAAATGCAATTCCAGTAACAGCAGCAGCAGCAGAAGGGGCGTTGCAACGACGGCATTTCTCCGAAAATGTTGTGCCTATCCGAAGAATTTACAAGGTATAGGACTCATTCAGTAATCCCGAAGGAATAACATTGTCATTAGTCGGCCCAATTGGTGCTTAAAGCCTATGGGTTGAGTTATGAGGCCATTTAGCCAGTCCCTCATGAATACTAGAGCTGCTTCTTTCAGATATACTCCGTTCAGGCTGGATTGGCTAACGACGTCATAAAAACTATAAAATGGGCACTTTCGTCAGCGCTATTACGTCTACTAGAGAATACCAGACGGGATCGGACCGTAGATTAGCCACCGAGGATCCTGTCCCATAAATAGCACACGTATGATCGCACGGGGGCCCGAATATGACAGGTCTGTCAGTTTGGCTACTGTGTTCCAATCATTAAAAAAAAAAAAACGCTGTGGCGTCCGAAATAGCGAGCGCGCGAATCCCTCGAGTACGCGATTGTCAAAACATCCTTCTGGCTGCCCTGTGAATCACGTCATTCTCTTAGCAATGTCCTTTTCGCACAGCTGAGCGGGGCGAAGAAACGTGACAAGGCCTCGGAGGACTCACTTTCACTGCGAAAAGTGCAAACGACTGGCCAGCCGACGTAGCCGTCGACGACGACGCATTGGGTAGGGGGAACGCCCTCAACAAGCGCCCGCCCGTTGCACGGAGACAACAAAGCATTCCCCAATGGGTGGCGATAAAAACGCGCAACACTTTTGAGCTCGCGCAAACCCGAAGGGCCGGCCGGCCGCCCGCGATCAGAGAGCAAGAACACACGCACTCAATGAACGAGCAAACACACGGCACTCTGCACGACAAAAACCATCGCGAAGACTTCTAAAAATTCGGGGCATTGGTGTTTCGCCCGCATACGCACACATCCGTATACGTCTCTGGGTCTCCTTTCTCAATTCCGTGGATGGCCGGGGACAGATGAGAACAGGGAGAAATCTCATTTGCGAAGCACATAGCGGTTCAATTACAAAACCTTCCTGGATCTCAAATACCAGGAATACCCTATGGGAAAAGCTACAACAATAAAACAACCATTTAACGAGGCTTCAATGTTGAAGGTATGGTTCTATCTGGTGGCCATCCAGCANATTCCCATAGGATAGCGTATGAGCTACGGCTCATGTCGCTGAGATCCCACATGCCTATTCCTCTCAATTTCCGTGAACAGGGCCAAGTTTGAGACGGGTAAGACCCATGTTGATTGCATGTTTCCGTTGTTTATTGTTTACTTACATACCGTAGATTGGTCGGCTACAAATTCTTTATAACTCGTAGCTTCTCAAGTAAGTTCCATAAGAACAAATCGAGCAAAAGAAAAAAGCCCAGGACAAATGGTATCGATTTTCTCCTAGTGCATAATGGTACAGACATTTTCAGGCGCTTTGCATTTAGCACCATTACACTAGACTGCTGCGCTATAAAACTGGGTTATGACTTACGTTATAACACCAGTGTAAAGGAGCGGCTACTGCGTGGAAAAGAATTTCCTCTTCGGATCCATTTTTCTTTGGGTTTTTACGGTTTCTACTACCTTCCGACCCTTATTGGGAGCAATTGGTCCTCAAATTCAAAAATAACCCAGGCTAGCCTCCCAAAGAGACTCCTGGGTGTTCGCCACTTTGCAACTTGCCGTCGATACCGCTCTCCCACGCATTTAGACATTGCTCAGCGGGAAAAAAAAGCGTTGTTTAAACAAACACACATACCGAACGCAAACAACGATGTCGATGAGGAAACGTCGCTGGAGCGCAAACGTGTTGATTGATTTGGGAGCAGCGGTGAGCGCAGTACACAAGCTTTGGCTCTTTCATTAGCCGTTGAGTAAACTTGGGTTATGTAAACTAATGACTAAGCAACTGTTTACTGTAGAAATACGAAACTGCAGAGGGGGAAGGGGGATGAGACGCAGACCGCCGACAGACACACACATACGCTCATCGCGGGAATTCTAAGAGCAACAAGCTGTGTAATGTGTTTTGTCATCAAATCTATGTGATTCATGTGAATTCTCCCTACGTCCCGACGTTCCATCCCATTACGCCCATGGGAAAGAAGCCGTGCGGGAGAAAAAACCTCTCTTAGCACAAAAAAACCCCGAGAACAAACTACAGTAGTATTTAATCGCAGAATTATCGGTTTACTACAACAGGAAGGCTTCTGGCCTAATCAAGCGGTTGAACAAACCAAAAAGTGGGAAGTTCTAGAGAACAAAAAAGGTAGAGAGAAAAGAATAAAGAAAAAATAGAAGAGAAAATGGAAAAGAAAAAGAAAAGCGTCACTAAAATGTCTACTTTACCAACCTGTTGTTGTTGCTGCTGTTGTTGTTGCTGCTGTTGTTGTTGTTGCTGTTGTTGCTGTTGCTGCTGAAGCATATGCAACAATGGAATCGTCGCACCGGCGGTATTGGACGATAGGAAGGGATTTCCAGCAGCAGCCGCAGCGGACAGACTTGCGGCCAATTGCGGATTGTGCAGAAGTCGGAGCGGATCGAGGCCAAGTTGTTGGCTGGCTGCCAGTTGATGTGACAGTAGACCGGCTTGGGTAAGGAGCGATGTTGTCGAGGTGTTCACGAACAACGACGATGACGGGTTGATACCGACACCAATGCCTCCACCACTGATACTGCCACTGACAGCGCTACCAGCACTGCCCGACGGTGTCGCCGAAGAGGCCCGATGACCGGGATCGGATGGATGTGTGGCTGAAAATGGAAATGGATTAGATGTACGCCATGGAAAATAACTTGAAGGAGTAGCCAACAAAGTCTGTTCTTTCTCGAGCTGCTCCAAAATCATGGACTTCAGTGGTGAATTCAGGCTAGTCTTACGATGGTACCAAGGGCTATCCAAAATCACTACATAGTCCAGACAAAGCTCTTCGACGGAGTCCAGTTAGGCCTTTCATTCTTCGTACCCGTGATCCTCACTTATCCAAGTCCAATAATTGTGATTGAGGCTTGGGCGACTGGGACATTAAACCCAACCCACTTATGTAAGCGACTAGACAGGAGTTTAACGAGAATTGATTGCTGCAATTTAGTAACGAGACGGCATTTCCCTAATCCAGTGTGACACACGATCCCTTCCATCCAGTGCTAGTGGCCTCTCTGACAGGAGCTCAGTCGGTCTTCGCCCTAATCCCACATCAAAAGCCGCATTACACATATCCATACACACACAGGCAGACACATTCACCCGATGCGTCTGCCTGATGATCATCCCGAACGCAATAAATACAACCGCATTACAACGATCGCTAGCACAACGATAATGGATGCCATTGGATCTTCTTTGAGTGACATCAGGAAGTCGATGTGAGCTATGGCTCCGCCGATGCCGGCAGCAGCAGCAGCAATCGAGGAGGTCGAATGGGAGAAGGGGAAAAAGTGGACAAAGAAATTCCTATCGCGTATAGACGGTCAAAGAGCAGTGGGCAAAGCTGTTCGGAGAAAACAAACCACAATTGCAGCCCACGCAGATAAAAAACAATGTGCAATTCCACGTATGAACGGACGCAAGAGCACAATTATTACTTCAAGATGATGACCGTGGTAGTGCTTTCCGTTGACATCACTCAGCCCTTTACAGGACCGTCCTTGCTCGAGGTAGAAGCCAGAAATTGGAATGGGAGCTCACCCGGTACAGTTAACCCAACCTGGGTAGACTCCTGATATAAGCCACTTTGGCTGAGTCCATCCATAAGCACCTTCATCGGCACCAACATCATTGTCCTAGCCTGTTATTTTCTTCCACCATGAGCCACTGGCCCTACCACAGCCTTCTCCCCGATCGGCATCCCTTCCATGCTTTGCTTTGCTCACTAAGGCTCACTAAGTAGAATGTAATTTCGCGATGGACCTGAGCTACAATCCAGCTTTGGACAGATTCTATCCACTATAATACCAAAGCCTTCTTGATAATCTTTTCATGGATAAAAAACATTTTAAGAGAGGACTTTTCTGCCACCAGTGATCGGATTCCATTAGCTAATACTTGTTATCAGGAATAATCCTTGCTTGAAATCTTTAAGCCGCTAAGAAGGATATCGGGGATAGTATTAAGATAAGCAGCTCATGGAATCTGCAATAGCCAGGGATTATTCTTGGCTAAGCATCATCAAACATGGTGCTCTGCAGGAAAATGTGAAGCCGTACATTTTACAAGACATTTTTTCAATCAACTGAACGGGAGGCTGAGTTCAGAGACTTGTAAAAGCCAGATGTCTCACTTCCTTAACCCCAGGATGCGTCTAGAACGAACTGATACCTGAGGCATTCGGTGGTGTTTCTGACTTTTCACACAGACACTTTACAACCAATTCCTTGAATGTTCTATCGTAAAAACAGCTTGCTGCAAATTCGCCGAGTATAAACACTACTCAAGAAAGTACCCAAGAAAGCTTCCATTTCCGTTTCTTAAGGCGGTTTTGCTGAACATCCACCTCGCAATCACCCAGTCGGAATCCTCTCCCTGAATGACGACTTGAGGCCCATTGAGCTACTTCTGCACTGCCCTTCAGCCTATCGGCCTTGTTTTCCATCCGTCGCTGAGTCATCTCGTCTCATGAGGGAGGCCGACCGCACCCTTCTCTCCCCTCTCTTTTCTCTAGCACAACTCATCACGTCGAGCACACAAGCTTGACCACTTTTTCTCGAATGCCACTCAATCGTCACAGCAGCCGCTGCCGCCGCCGCCGCAGTTCTTCAGCCATCTCGACAACCGCCGCTGTTCTCGTCGACTTCTCACACGTTGTAATAAACATTACAACGGGGGAAATGTGCAACACGCACTCTGACGATACGAGGAAGATGGAAAACGGCGGCAAATGTCAGGCGCGCGCTTAACTCACGTCCTCATCTAGTCCCTTGGGATTCCTCAACCTCAGACAATGGCTTCTTTAGACCTCTCCCTAAGAGAAGCCGAGCCCGAGACGCATCGTATTCGATAACACTGGCCAGCAAAACTTGATCGGGGGTCGTTAGCGATTCGATTCGGTTCAGTTCTTCAGACGAATCGAAGCCTTATCATGACAGCTTCAAGCACTCAACCGGCTGGCCACCTACTAGGGAGGCTCGCACAAATCCATTTAGGCGGCTCAGATGTCTTGCCTTTTCAGTCAATTACTCGAATGACTTTCTTTCAGGATGCCATACAAGTAAGGATCAGTTCCCGAGAGCACCATTATGCCAAAACTTGGCATAGGCATACCTATATTTACGACCATTACTGATAACCATCTGGTTGCTGGCCATAAAAAGCTCTGCTGACCGTGTTATCAATAGAACGAGGAAATTTCTACGGGGAGAGCGCTCAAAACCGAACAATGTTCTCGTAATCCAACGGTGTTCAAACAAAGGGCAAAAAAAGAGGTTCCCATGACAAAACCAGGAATAGAATCCCGAATTACCCACGATAAAACATGAATAGCGAGGCAGTATTTCTCACGCAAATCGCCAAAAAAACACCGACGAACAGCCGTCTGGCTAGTCACTATAGTGAATTGAATTGATGCAGAAAAACAACTTAATTGAACGGAATTGCATTCAGAGCCGATAGGGTTCAAAATGAAAACAGCAGGCACAGCGATCCATAAGTCTATGGGAAAAATGTTTAAGCCCCTGGCGGACGCTCAATCCCTGCAAATGTATCAGCAATATCCCAACTGGCCATCCTTAATCCAACCAGATATTACCTCTCACAATCTCAATTGGAATTTGACGAAATAATCGATACTTATTCAAACCACAACCGGTAACAACCAAACAGAAAGTATAAAAGCAGGTGGGTAGTAGAAACTTACATTCTGCAGAAGTGGTGTGTGGTTTTGAATCCGCTGACAATGGCGTATGTGGTGTTTGATTTGTTGCACCCGGTGGTGTCACCACACCAATCGGTAGACTTGGGGTGCATGTAGCAGACGTATCCGACTTTGCAATACCGATAATACCATTGCTGAAATACGAGCACTGTCCAACTTGGAAGTAACAAAAAAAAATTTAAAATGCATTTTTTAAAATTAATCAAGTAAAATAGACCACTGAAGAACTTCGAGCATAACTACTCATATGGTCTTGACAAGCCACACTGCGAGCGGTAGAGTGAACACCTCTCATTAACGGGTCAGGGTATGAATCAAATTCCAATCTGCCACGTCTCAAGTCCAACGACCACAGCCTGGCCCCATCAGAGTGTACCTTAGGGTAGCCTGATTCGATTACTCGTCTCAAATCCTTGCCCTCGGTTGGATTGCATGCAAATGGACCCACAAAATGGCAAAGTTCGCACTTCACTCTTGCTCTTGCAGTCTTAGCATTTGTGCTCTCTCGCGAGCACTTTCAATGATGTTTGCGTGGCTTAATCCTTTGCCAATCCTCTTAACCCTAATAACACCTTGTTTGCCAACACTATAAACTACATTTCTCTTCGGTTCGGTTCAGCAATGACGTCGCCAAGCTCTGTTTAGCGCCCACGCCAGGCAAACAAAGCGATATTGAGGACATGTGCTTCCGGGACCATCAATCTTTTGCACTTCCCCGAACCCGTACGCAAAAACATTCGATCGCTGGGCGTGCACGCCATACAGCTGGCAAATTCTTTTCTTCAGCAACAACAAGCTCTTCTCAGGGCGGAGATCATCGCACAACAGCCGCCTCCGTTTTTTCACTCTTCAACTACAGGCGGACGATGGCACATCTGATGGCTGTGAACGAGAGCATATGACGCGATAATACACACTCCGACATTTTTGCCGACGCTATAAAAACTCCCTCCCGAACAGACGCCTCCACGGCGCGGGTGTAAAAAAAGTCGTTGGCCAGCTGCCAACCGGGTAACAGCTGATCGCTCACGATCACCTGTTTGTTCTGCACAAACAGAATCACATGAAATCACTATGATTAATCACCAAACTCTGCGGGTGAAGCTAGCTCCCCCTACAACATTCATCACCCACATTTCATGCTGCTAAAGCTTGTGTAAATTCAGAATTAGAAATCAGAATTCTTACATACAAATCATATGTATCGATCAGTTTCTTCCCCTTCCCCAGATCAACCATAAGCACACAGGAAATTCCAAGAACCTCCGCAGGAGTTCTTATCTACAGCAGCCTTAAATCTTCTTAATTCTGGAGCGTATTCCATAAAACCTCCCTGGATGTATTGGAAGGAAGAGTATTAATTACGCACAAAAAACGTAATTCTCCCACATGAACCACGGCATGAACGCCCACGAAAAGCCCATTTAGTCCAGGCATTATGACCATTTCACGAATGGCTTTAGTTACCAGAAAAAAGATAATCAAAACCTTTTTTCGGCCGGATAACTGCCCTGAAGACGAGGCAATCATGGTTTGATAACTTTTTTTGATCTTTCCCCATCCCTCTTATTGAACCATCACTAGATAAGGATCGCTGCAACCGTCACCAGGGCGATAAGATAAGAGCTTATCTGACCAGATGCATCAATGCCACCCTCATCAAAACAATCTGCAATCGGCCGCAGTTTTCCCAGCTCAAAGAGCGCTAAAGTCCATTGAATTAATTGATATCCCCCAGAGGACTTTCCTCTGCCTTTTATGGACGGCTGGGTTCCAGACATTGAATGAAAGGCTGCGAATCTCCCAGGGGAGCTACAATTCTTATTCTTAGGGCGCCAAGAAGGACCGCATAAACAAATATGGAAGCACCATAAAATTAAAGGAGACAAAGAGCGACCAAAGTACTCAACAAAAGGGCGTTCCAAAGCCAGGCAATTAAGTTCAACATATTGCTAGTTCATTGAAAAATTCGTGACACTGTTGCCCTATTCCCAGACCTAACACAACCCTCATCGATTCCGACCCCCATACAATCCATTTCGATTGGGTCTTCAGTGAAAAAGGCGCGCACAGGTGTACAGCAGTCAATCAGACAGGAAGCGAAAGCGGGTTTCATTCGCACGATCCATACGCCAACAGAAAAAAAAACAAGGTCACACACTCGGCCTCTTTTCGCGCCCCCGTCACTCGTCCATCGCCGGACGGCTGGCGGCGGGTAGTTGTGCAATTAGGGAAGATATGTTGCGCGCGGGTGGAGATGGGTGGGCGCGCGCGGAAGTGAAAGTCTCGTGGGGCGATCGGCGCACCAGCGCTAGTTGACTAAGGGTCATGGCTTTACTCGGGTTAATCGGCCGATCAATCGATAAACGCGACTCTGTCAATCAGAAGAACCAAAAAAGGAATTTAGTAAGAAATATGGTTGAAAGAAAGAAGTATTAAGGCGAATCGATAGAATCATAACAAAAAGTGCTCCTTGTGCTTACCGAAACACCGTAGGGTCGGGCTCAATTCGTGACGTCTTCAGCGGGGCTGGTGATGGCGTCTGACTGGCGCCGCGTTTCAGTGGCGCCGTGCCACTGTCCGCCAACACGCCAGGACTTTTCATTTTACGGCCGCGTGAGGCCTTTGCTAATTTCTGAAACAAAGTATAATTATATTTGAGTAAAAGCTAATCGATTGAAACTTGATATCGATGACGACGACAGCGTGAAGGGGAGAATGAGAAAAAGGAGAAGAAAAGACGAGAGCGTGGCTGCAAAGCAGGAGCAAAAGCAGGAGTTGATGTGATTGGAAGAGAAAAGGAAATGACGGAAACACGGGGTAGCGGGAGACTCTGAATGGGACTTGCCTTGCGCATGGCGGAAGAGCTGGATGAGATGGGGAAAGGAAGGATATGATTTGTGTATGCATGAACGCCTTCAACGACGAAAGCAAAGTTCATTCAAGTTGGACCACCATCATCTCCTTGGACCAAAGAGACGAGATCAAGTCCAGGATCGAGTCAGGGAAAGACTTGAGACACAGAAATCCCAGAAGAGTTGGGAGGTGAAAGTTCCGTATGGAGATACGCCATCAAACTTACCTTTCTTTCGAAATTGCGAACCTATTTGGATGGGTTTCTGAACTTTGCAACGGTTTAGTGGAGAAAATCGATGTCTACAAGTTTCAGGGAAAAACAAAACCAACAGGAAAATCTTTAAGAAGTCAGTGTTCCATCAGGTTATCGAAAATGGCTATAAAAAGAAAAGAAAGAGTAAAAACAGAAATTAATGGCTGATAAAAAGGTTTCGGCGACATCGACAGCCACATAGACTGTTCAATCTCATAAATCTGAATCATTAATAGGAAAATGCCCGTTCAGGAATAAATTCCAACACGAATCATTAATCATTCACTATTTCGCGGACAGGAATGACAACTCTAAAGCGCCATCAACGCCAAAACAGGTCCACCCCATGAAAATCTGTGCATACAGTACTAAAATAACCGTATTAGCCAAATCTGATTCATAATACAACACTCGATAGCGGCCGAACAATGCACCCGGACTGTTCAATACGACGATTCAACACGGAACGAATTTTTCAGGCCACACAGAAAAACAAAAACAGAATGACAGGGGAATTGCGTATTCAGCGGATTCGATTCTCACTAACGACCACCACATTCATTCACATGGGCATCGAATCCGATTTCAAGTTCAGTTCAGTCCCCTTCGATCAACTTTTGTTGCCGATCGACGACGACAGCAACGACGATCCACGACGACAACGACAACGACAGCGAGATGCGATCTAGCTGAATTCGTGGCGCGCCGTGCGGCACTTCTTTCCTTTTATAGCTATCTTTCCCTGATTCTCTCTCTCTCCATCTCTATCCCTCTCTCTCGAACCAGAACGATCGTTTCCCTATGCAGGGGAAGATGCACTAGTGAGATCGACCAGCGCTTACGCTATCCACTCTGATCTGAAGCAGTTCCAACATCGATTTATCTACCGATCAGATCTGGTCATGCTACGAAAACATTAAAGACAAAGACAGAAGTGGAATGACCTCAGCACTGGTGTTAGAAACGAGATCAAGAGTACAATCACGCTTGAAGCCGCTAGGCTTAAGTGAAGCTGGTCAGCGGTCTCACTCAAAATCGACTTCCACTAATGAAAACCAGTACAAATGGAGTGGGCCCAGAATCGACCGCAACCATAAAAATATTCGTCAGCCACGTTGCTTCCACGCATACCTTCCCAAAAACGAAATCCATCAGGCAAGAACGATCCCCACCCAAGAGCAGACAAGAAACGCTCACCTCCCATTTCACCACTGACAGGACAACGCTAACCATCTGCTTTTTGAAACCACAACGAATTTACCCAATAAAGGTCAACCAGACCTCATGGACACTAGCCAGTCAATAAGCGAAAAAGCGATGAAACGTGAAGGCCACCTTCGATGGCGTCGAGACATCCGCCCGCCCGTACGACGACGAGCAGACATTAGGAGCGCCGCCGCGACGGAGGACGATGTTTTTACGGCGTATGGGAGGGCTCCGTTTTCGGTCACGAAACAGACGGGCGGCAATATTGCCCGCATTCGCGCCAGCCATCTCGGCTCTGCTGCATATCTTGCATACTGTGCTGCAAGGAAAAGCTATTCATGCGGTTCCAAATGAGACAGCACCGAGAGAAATGTTTGGAACGTGATGAAAACAACGAATGAAACGAGAGGGGATGATTAAAGAACGAACAACTGAACGAACTTCGACCGATGAACGAATACGTGTGCTGCAAGACGATGATGAACCGGCCTGCTGGTTCAGCCGGCCGCTCGAACTGCCTGCCGTCGTTGCCAGCAGCCGACCGACCGGTTTCAATCACCATGGCAGCTTCATAAATAACCTCACAGTCATTGCGAAATGCATACATTACACATGTCTCTGTCGACAGGGAACGATCTATTTGAAAAGAAAAAAGTCACATCTATAAAACTCAATGGAAATTCCTCCATTATTTCTAGGCAACTGTTATACGGCTTTTTGAACCGGTAAACAATGAAGGTGGTTCTTGGATTTTTCTGCCAAAAACTCAGTTCCGACACAAGCACCACTTGGCATGCCGTCATGGATGCTGTCCGCAAGGAGGCTGTCATGGTAAATGAATTCCGCTCATGGAGAAAACATTGAAATATTCAAAACAGCTGCAGAATTAGACATTCCCATGTGGGAGATTCATTTCGCTATCGAAAGCTACAGGAATACTCGTCTCGATGAATCGTGGACGAAGGTCTTCCAAAATAGTTTCCTACAGGCTCATTTCACCCGTTCCCCTTGTTCCCCGATGTCGCACTCACTATGCAGGAAACACGATGCACTCAGGAACCGATAATTCGCCAGGACATAGCAATCACTAGTTCCTGCACTTTACAAGTTGGACCTTTACATGCCACTACGCCCATTGTACTCTAAGTGATGTCTCGTTCTTTGAAATTGCACGATTACACAGCTCGGGAAAGAATCTGGGAATGACTCGTTCCCGATCAAAGACCGAAACGACGTGTACAGTGCTGGAGTGTGTATGTTTTGAAGGCGTGACTGCTGTGTAATGTAATCGCGGAGAGAAGAGATACAGAGTACGGAATTCTCCGTGGCCAACGGACGAGCAGCCTTTGAAAACATCGGCCGTGCTAGGGACGCAGAGAGTGGGGGAACAGAAATAGAATTCCTGATGATAAATCGCATGTTGCACTCGGCCCTGTTACGAGCAAAAAATGGCTAAAAAGTACGGACAGCTGTCAGAAACTATAGCAAATTCCTAGAGAATAGGAGGAAGTTGAGAGAGCCGTTCGGGCAGTGATTAGCGTTCGGGAAACAAGTACGACCCATACAAAGCGAATACAGTAATAATCTTCTTATGATGCGATCGCCCTTCTGCGAGTGAACTGCAGTAAAGAATACACTTGTCAGCAGAATGAATATACGCACATCTCTGCCGAAACGCACCCGCGTAGGAGCGTGAGAAACGGCGCTGTAGGCGGGGCGGCAAGGCGGGGACAGACCGACGAGCAACGGGGACGGGCGGACGGAGCGAAGATGAAGTGAGAGCGAGAGTGCGACCGATTACGACAGCCTTCGATCGAGTGATGGATAGCCGGACAGAGATATGAGCAAGAGAGAAAGAGAGGGAGACGGAAAACAGGCAGACACGGGGAAAGGCCGACAGAGAGCGAACGACGCAACGCAGGCGCAGAGATCCACCACATCGGGGATTCTATACAATTATTCGTTTATTTATTTAGCAAACAGACAGCCCTACGCACACACATACATAGTGAAAGCAATCGCAAGTGTCACGTTAGAACGGAAGCGGAACACAAATGGCTGACCTGAGGGGGAGAGTTTGACTGGGGAGGATCGAAATACGAGAAGGCTCAACGGTGACGCGAGGGGTGAAGGGGGAAGACGTTGATGACGATGAAGTAAATACAAAAAAAAGCAGAACACCTTCAGCAAACATTTGCCACATCAGCCCACCTCACAAATACCACTATCGCCACTATCACAACCTAGCACACTGTTTACCTACACCTTGACGGCCTGACCGAATACCTTACCGCCACATTTGGAAACAAAGGTGATAAGAAGACAAACGCTACCATGAGCGAGCGACTTCGGACGAAAAAGGAAGGCACCTTTGTGACAGACAGGACCTGGACACAGGTGACGACCGGACTTGGGGACGGTTTGTGGTCGACAGCCACTTGTCACCACGGAATGAGAGAAAGAGATAGACGAGGAAGAAGAAGATAAGGCGATAAGCAGCCGACATAAGTGACGTGCTTTTAAAGGAAACATTCTACTGGACAGCCTATCTCTGCTATATTTATACACACCATAAGACATAAGAGCATGGTAAATGAATATTAAGAAGAAGAGAGACATTATTTCACAATGGAATATTCAAGATGGAATGTTATTGCCAAAGGATGTACTTTTCCGTATTTTGTATGATTTAATCTGAAGCCCTTTGGAGCATGCAAGCCAATCGATCAATTCACGTTGGCATGACCAATCGGGCCCAGCAACGATACTGTATGCTACGAGAAAACCTTGCCAAACTGGATTCCTCTAACTCCAGAACCCGATTACGAGTTATTCTATAGTGAAGCTGAGTAACCCAGGCTCCCAAACAAATCTATAGACTATATGTCAAGATTGGAAGGTACTAACTCTCCCCAATCCTCTTTAGCATAAGAAATTGATACGTGACTAATGATCAGCTCAGTCAGGCGATCCTTTCAAGACAGCTAAGCTCCTACTGATCCTACTCCTTCTTCAGGCCACTCAGACAGATTAGAAATGCATTTGCGTCATTGAACCTTAATCACCATCTAAGGCTTCAGAATCCATGATGATGCACTGAATAGAATTGCTGTTCCGTCTAACTGGAACCGGCAAAAGAGGTGCAAATGCACGCGAAATTCTGCTGCAAAAAGTTGAGTCTTTCCCTAACTTGCACTTTCTGCTCTTCAGAATTTTCAATGAATTTATTACCGGGATCGGGGGAACTGGTTAATAAAACGGTATGCTAGTGTAATGCACATTGTCTGTATGTCTGCTACCGTCTAGTTATCACAGGAGCAAAGTACATTCCGTACTAACACCAAAAACAACACAATGCGTATTCGACGGCGCTCGTGTTGACGAATTCATGAATAATTGAAGAATGTGGTGTGAATGCAGCCAACACTTTTGGCTGTTTGGGTGGGTGCAGGGATAGAGACGCAGACGTCATGCCACTGGGAAATACCACCACAGTGGCACACAGTTCTGCAGCTTCAAAAGTCATCAGAAAACATTCGAAGAACGTTATCACTGCTCCCTGACGGTTATCAGTATCCCATCGTCGCTGTGAACGACGATATCGCGCAAGAGAAGAGAACGCACACACAACAACGCCACGCACGTCCTTGGACATGCAGGAAGAGGGGACAGTGAACTGGAATCGCCGTCACGTTACAGCAGCAGTCTCTACGGCGACGTGCGGCGCTACGTGGCTAGTGTTCGTCGAGGACGATAAGGGCCGAATGTTACGTAAAGTACGTTGCACTGTAAAGCACAACGCAACGTGTGAATCAACAACACACTCACACAAACTGATGGATTGTATTTGTGTAGGCGCGGGGATGAGACGTTCTGCAAACAGAACCCTTGGGAAAACACGGCGGGCGGGAAGAGAAGAAACTCGCCCCACGTTGCTTGAGACCGCCTTTTTTCTCAGTGAAACCAATGAACGAAGAAGAAGAAGAAGAACAAGAAGAAGGTGTTCCTGATAACACGATACATATGGGAGCAGTCAACAAACGGCAAACACCGTTCACATCGGTGTCAATGATACCGTCCATCAAATCGTTTCTCGCCGTAACAGCGATAAAACCAGTTCCATCCCTTCTCTTCTCATTTGCTTTCGGTATGCGCGCAGCTCTTCCGCTCATTGCGTTGCCGTCGACGTCCTAATGCTGATCGTGTCCGATGTAAAGGCGTAAACGATCGCACCATCGTGGTGGTCGTATCTCTTATACATGCATCGATGCGTTGCGCAACCTGTATGCATCGATTTCTTAGCGCGATATGGCCAACTAATTGAATGACGGAAGTAAAACGTGGTCAACCTTGAGGAGACCGTGCGGAGGGGGATCGGGGAAAGGTGAAGAACGTAACGTGACGTGGGTTAAAAACAAATCATTTTAGAAACTAGATGGACAGACCAACCAATGAAGCACCGTAATCAACGTATGCAAGAAGCCAGAAAGAGATGATACGGAAGAGGCACTTTCGACGAAGCCTGCCACCCGAATCATCAAATACGGACAGGATATTAATAAAGGGGAAGTGATGGGGAGGGCAAGATACTGAAAGCTGGGAAAAAGTGACCAGGATGGCTCTGCGAGCTGCTGTCGTCGTTGCGACGCGAAAACCAATTAAGCAAGGGCAGTCGCCTAATATGGTTCTTTCGTTGCTGCCACCCGCTTCGCATGCACATCTCTCAGCCAAATAACATTACAGCGCTTTTTTCAATTATGCAAGCGAAAATCAACTTTGCAAATGGGAACGGAACCACGTCATTCGGGCGGTTCACCACGAGAGAGTGAATCGCAGCGAAAGAAGAAAAAATCGGGGAGATTAAGCCAAACAGACAAGTCTTCAACACCCGTTCCGGGAACTGCTTTCACATCTACAACCGCCGTCATTGCTGACTTGAATATTTAAATCTTTAATGGGGCTGATGGAGTGGTTAGCAGCAATCAAACTTCTACAAAGGCTATCCATCAATATAACGACGAAAAAAGGCGATGAAAAGAAAACCACTCCCAGCTTATGATGGCGTTACTCACTAAACGCTTAATGCTGACTACGGACGACTATGGAGCTATGAATCTTCAGATGGAGCAGCTCAAGACGGATCGTACTGTGGCAAAAGAATGAGGAAGAAATCCAGATCACTTCTGTGTATATACAGAGACATACACACATAGAATTGAGACAAACACTCCACATTTCTCCTTGGAAGTTCTTTGCAGGCTGTACACGGCACATATTGATTACCACGCGCCACTGCTGACAGCTCTTTGAGCAGCCAAATTAATTTCATTTCACCGACGGGTTTTCTCTCATCCTCTTTTCATCCAGCTTGATGAAGGTGACAAAATCGAATTGAACTTGACGACGAAGACACCAAAAAACTACGAATGATCGATGGATCTGGACGAAGACTGTTCGTGTCGATCAATAACTTTTCCTGGAATTTCTCAAAAGTGCAATAGCGAAAGGGGTTGTTAAACGCACCGTAATTGGGAAGCCCTAATATAATTTGGCGTTTTCTAAGTGTAACGGTCTTCCCGCCACGGGGATGGACTATAAAACATCAACGAAACGGGAAAATTTCGAGAAAAGTGGAGTCTATCCCTCAAATCGATTGTGCCTCAAATTGGGAGAAGATTCATCCAGTTACCGTATGTTAAGCTTAGCTGTTCCCAAACCTTATCCAGGTGTGGAATTAAACTAAGCCTCGGCCAGCAGATGACTACTCCCATACTTTGAAGCAATAAACTTTTTTTGTTATTCACTGTTTTATCTCTGTATCTTGGTTTACTGCCTTTACATGTGGTTATGTCATTCCAATTTTTTTCAACGGCTTTGTCCACAAATTGGGCTCGCATTTGTAGTGAGGCCTCCCATTAGTCGAGTAGCAACAACACTAGTTTTTTCCGCAAACGTGCACTTTCCATCTCTACTAATTCTTATTAGCGTCTCGTCGATGATTCGATTTAGCACTTGAAACTCGATAAGACGCCTTAAGATGACGATAACAGTGCGATGCACGCAGTGATTGATTGACGACAATGACGAGCAGAAAAGTTGAAAAAACAGCCCGTGGTCACTGTTTTGAGAAAGGAGCTGGGATCTCCTCAATATTCGCATGGGAAAGTCATTCATGCAAGCAATGAATATAAATGAGATGATTTAATTGGGGTGCTCATTAAGTAGCAATAACTACGCCGCATTATTTTGCCGTTTCCATTTCATTGGTGGTATTTGCTCGAATAGCTTCTGCTGCGACCGCATGAAATCATGAATAAAACCAGCATTCCCAGTTCACGTCATTGAGCTTTTGCTATGTTTGAAGGCCTTCAGTGAGAATTCCGCTGAATGTGAACTTTTATTTCCGTCCGCTCTTTTGAGAGGCGAACTCGTAGCGAAATCCTTGCGTCCATAAACTAGCGAGTTCGTATAATTAAGACAGCTTATAGAAGGATTAGCGCTGAACCGTGGAGAACTTCTTGCCAACGAGTAGTGGGCAATGATCGATTCCCTGGGAGGTCCAGGTAGGGAATGTACCCATAGGGAATAGTTATTCGTGAAGGAGTTGTCAGAACTTGCAATAAAAACGAATCAATGATTTTTCTGCAAAACCATTGGTTTCAACTGCCATTCCCTTGAATTCAAGCTAATAGGGTGTATCTATATGCGCATTATCGAATTCACAACGCGTGGGCATTCGTTCTGCAAAACAAATTATTTTGAAGAGGGGGATGCGATAGCGGGAAAACGCAGTAATTCGATCAGATCCGTCATCCAATTACCATTCCCCCACAGTCCTGTTTCCCGGTTAGCCTCATCCATGAGTAAGCGTCTGAGAGCTCTTCTCGAAAGTAAATCTGTCCACGCTGTGAAAGAGAAACCTCGTCGAAATTACGTAATGAGGGCTACCAGAGTGTGTGGTTTCCGGCTCCTAACAACCTTAACGACTTCCTTTACCGAAATAGCAGTGTGGCTAATAGAGCATTCAGTCGGACTGAGTCCATCCACGTTTCCCGATGTCATGCGAGGAACTGAGGCGATGACAGCAAACAGCAGTGGCAGTAGAGTGTCCGGAGGGCAAACACCACCGACTAAAGATTGCTGCGTCATTTGCTTAACAACTTATTCACGCTCAGATAATAACATTCACGCATTCAGCCACGGCATGCGACTACTTAGGAATCAAAGTCCAGGCCGCCGTCTGCTGGCTATAATTGGCTACATTTGCTAGTGACTATGATTAATAAGAGCTCAAACGAAACCAACGTTCATAGACCGAGTGAATCATTATATTCAAAGCGGATTACGGGTTTTGAGGCACATCTCGGCCGAGTTGATCGATAGGCGTGCGTAGAGACTCACTGGTGATACGACTCAGAAGAACCAGAGCCGTATACATAATCATATCCGCTATTATCGAACAGGATTAGCGCAGCTCTCTCGAAGTGGAAATAGTGAGATGAAGGGAAGGGAAGGGGAGTGGAACGGAGGGTATGTCTACTTTTATCGACCCACCGATGCCGATGACGGAAGCGAAGTGTTGCCTGTTACAAGGTCTACTGACAACCAACAATGAGTGCAAAGGGGAAATGTCCATAAAACCTCTCGAAGGTAAATATTAGCACTATTCAAACACCCAAACCCATTATATAAACATCAAATGGAACCGAACGGTTATCGACTCGGTAAATGGCCGCCAGTTCGACTGATGAAGCCATCAAAAAACACCCCAAACGGCCTCGTTGTCGCCGCTACTCAAGGACACAGGCAATCGTCATAGCTGTGGCAATAGCAGCGGCGTTCCAACGGGCAACCAAAGATCGTTGGGGGTGTGGCAAGTGGACGGGCGCGGGCGGAGTCTCACGGACGCTCATCTGCGAACTGCCGAGTCCGCATGGAGGAAAAAAGCGAGCGCCAGGGACGACGTGCACGCCATCAGCCGGATGGTGAGGAGAGTGTGCTCGCTCGCGTGAAGGAAAAAAAAAAACTCGTCAAGGACACACAAACACGCACACGCACACACACACAAAGTCACACAAAGCAGGCCAGCAGCCCTGTCCAGCAGGCTAGCTGGCTGGCTGGCTGGCCGGGTGCAGCCAGGCTACCGATCCGCACGACGCGCCCCTCGTTCCCTTCGGCCGCCCCTTCGTTATTAGTACTTTTTCATCAATCCTTTCGTGTCTGCATCTCCTCACATCTCGCCCTACACTTTACACAGCCAACTGCCCCGCGCCACACATACAACCACCACAACAACGGCGACTGGGACGAGGGCGACATAGACCGGCCGAACGGCCATGAATATAGATTGATAGTCGACAAAAACCCGAGCGGCCTTACACTGACATATGAAAATGCGCGTAAACATCGTCACGGGACGACTGAAAAAAAGCCGCTGGGCAAGCAACGAAGTGGCGCTGAGCGGGTTCTGCACGATGAGAGCGATGAGAGCGACGATTACATCGTGTTCGTCAGGTTGTAAGTCAGCTGTGCTAGTGTGTGAGTGTGAGTGAGTGTGTGTATGGAACAAATGGATTAAACGAATGTACGGACATCCAATGAAAAATTGCAATGTCTATTACGAGCCAGCAATGTGGTCATCAATCGAGCTGAAACGTTAGGACAAAAACTTCTATGATTTATTGCGATGTATACACACCCAGCTATTGCATTTGTTACCGTAGTTAATGAGCGACAGCATGGCGTGTAATGAACGTCGTTCTATTGTTCCCCAAACGAAAAAAAGTAATAATGACATTCGACAGAACGACTATACATCGAATGCCAAAGCTGGACTCCAGATCGGGTAGATCGTTGAGTCCAAGGGTGGAAATTTTAAAGCTTTTGTTGAATCGGAACGACCTAGCTCATCGGAAGTTGACCATGCAAGCGACCCAACCAGGGAAGTTTCACCTCGATTTTTTGGTACCTTTGACTTCCGATTTCCGATGGACACGATCAAGACCACTTCTGCCAGAGCAGTCTATCCGGTCGAAGGGCAAAAATGGCCTTGACTGGATGCCTCGGAAATCGGAAAATCGAGAAGAATAGGCTTCGGGTAAAGAAATGCTCTTTATTTCTCACCCAACGTTTTTCCTTGGCTAACAATTGGGATACAGTGGTGCTGCAAACCATCAAAGCTTCTTCGAAAAAGAAAAAATAAAAAGAAAGGAAAGGAAAAATAGAAAAGTGAATGACCAAGATGGAAAACCAGTGAAGTCACTTCACTAAGCTACTGAAAGAAGGGAGTCCTTTCCATGAAAGGGGGAGTCACCTTTATGGCTCTCTTTGTATCCTTATCTGACCTTATCAGGTAAAAGCCAGACAGAATACTCTTATCAGCTTATTGTTTCCCGTCGACTTTTTTCTATTCTCTTGTACTTAATGGGCCGATAAAGGGCAAAACTATTAAAAAATTCTGTCAACATAGGAAACATGATATTATGAAGAGCAAACAGAGCATTCCAGTCAGCCAGCTCAGTCCCGATGCGTCATCGAACCCCGGGTTCAAAGCACAAAATACGAATGTTTTGCAACGACGGCTACTGACAGGATAATCGTATTGTGTTCCAGAAAAAAGCTTATAAGGCCTATTAGGGTTAGCAGAAAAATCGTTATCGTGTTACTGGGAATAAGCACACTCATAATAGCTCCCTGGCCGTTATCTGAATGATAGCGCTATGGGAATTGAAAAGATTAAACGTCACAAAAGCGAAAAGTAATTGATTAAGACTGAAAATGACGCCCAGCATCCACCGCGAAAGCCTCGGAGCGCCGGGCATTTAACGTCGTGAGATGACACCTACGATGCCAGTGAAAACTGGAATGACAGCGAGTATTCGAGGCGGTTTATCGCTAACCTTTCGCGCACCAAAACACCACCCCCCGCCGTAAAAAGGATCAATTTCAATGACAAATGTGTAGCCACACGTAACGGGATAGCATTATAAATTAGCCGTTCTGCAGACTTTGCAGAACGACCAGTTTTAAAGTGCGACAAAAACGTTCATAAAGTACATCCTCGCATAAATGAATGGGTTGAAGGGTCTGAGCCTATTTGCACTTTTCAGATCTCGGAACTATTCCCAGATCAGCTTATTTTACTGCCCAGTAAACTTTTAGAGTCCAGACTTTTTCAACAAAAACTGACATCTTTAAACATCGGCTGATGGCCAAGCCATTTTCCTAGGACAAAACACATTTCACTGCTTTCATGCCTCGGAACGAGACTAAAAAGTGTACTTATGTGCTCAAAGTAGATCTTCAACCTGGGCTTTAACTGAGAACTTCAATTATCACTGAGTATCACTTGTTAACACGAAAGAGAAGAAGTTTGACAGAGCCCACAACACCGATCCTTTAGAGAGCGACTTATGAAAGTCAGGATGCCATAACCCAGTGCCTTCGAAGAAAAAAATTCTTAATTCTGGCATTTTTCACTGATTTCACGTCCAGGCAAGAGGTAAACCCCAAACGCGGGAGAAGGAAAAAACGGGAAATCATCCATTTCTTAATTAGGAACTTTTAAACCAATGGAATCCGATGCCTGCTTTCGGGTTTTCCCTCGAATCACCCGAAAACAGGCATCTCCTGGAACTGAGCAGAAAAATCATTCATCAGAATAGATAAAATGAAAATGAAAGCCAATGGAAAATCTCACTAATTTAACATTCCCAAATTCAACAATTACAAGCCAATTCCATGACCAAATTGGCTTCAATTGTGGCCAGCAAAGAAATCATCCGGGAATTCCACGGGTATATTTTTCATTCTTTGCCAACATAATCTATTCAATGGATGAACGTTTATAGATGATGTTTTCACATTCCGTTCTCCCACGTGTTAATAGGCCAATTCAAAGTAACAAAGGAGTTGCAAAGTAGACGATATATGCTAATCGCTTCAAAAAAAACGAGCAGCTACTGATGTTAGTTTCCTGGAGAACGCCCAAGCACAATAAATGTCGAAAAGTACATTCGCCCCCGCCGTCACTGCACAGTTATAAACACGCCATTGTCATTGAAGGGGCGTCGACGGTGAAATGGCCTTGTTCAGTAACGATGAAATGAGGTGGATGAGTGGTGGCGGCGCGGACGCAGGTGGAGTGGTGGACGTGTCGAGAAAGACGACGGACAGACACAGACAGAGAAGGAGGGAGAGAGGGCGGTGAGCGAGCAAAACGAAATACAAAAACCACATGTTCAGGAACAAACCGACCCAGCAGGACACTGATCAGATTTCGGCACCCTGCAGAGGGAATCACGTGCACTGAACGCTCTTCTTCCATGCCGCAGGTCGAGGCGTGCTGCAAAGTCGAATCAGTTCCTGAAGGAGGACGTGCTTCGCGTGAGAAATGGTTGCGAAGCTCTCCAACATGAGCATCATACATCCCGTTAGGCAATCGATGCCCACCCTGCTGAGGCAGGAAGGCGAGCTCGCTAATGGCATGTAGGAAGCTCTTTTAGCCATGGGACAGCCGGATAGATGCAGCCCATTTCAGTCACGTCCACAGGAAGGTCGCTCGTTAGAAAACAACAACATGGACGTGGACGAGGGCAGAAAGTGAATGCGCTAGGGGTGGAGCGTACGAGGCGAATTGATGGCCGACCTACAGCGGCCACACTATTGAGGGATGCCTGCTGCGTGCACGCGCACCCCCACACACACCCATCATTCCAGCACTGCCGAAATAGCCGACGTGTGGTCGTTGAGTGCAACCGGGAAATGAATGGGTGGCCTGCCGGGTAGTTCACGATTGGAATGGCACGATAACGCTACGAGTTTCCGTCATTGCCACCACACACGACGATGATTCCCGAACAAATGTACGCCGTCGCCGAATAGCTATGTATGTGCTGTTTATGATGCGTGACGGGAACGACAATCGTGCCAGGAACCACTACGTTACAAACAACATGTGCGAATGTCAACGTTCAAAACGTTACGACGACGAATACGCGATGAGAACTGTTTGGGGAGCCGGCTTGGTTATATGCCAAGTATCAGAAAAGCAGATTTGCGAGGGATGATTTCAATATCTCAGCGAAAGAGCATGTCATGAGAGATTAGCCTATTTTGCTCGGCTAATGCTTAATGGAGGAGTCAGGGATGAGTACAGGGGGTGTTCTCGTTGAGCCGTTTATTCCGATTAGGTGACGTAGGCTCCTAGATGTAAGCTGACAGCAGCAGCTTGTTTCAATATTCATAGAAGACTTCCGGGCAGGTAATAACCGCTCATCATGGTGACAACCTGCCTGGAAATTAGCCTAAGTATTTTGATAATGACCAGCTGCTCTTTGGAGACTCGAAGTCGTGCGGGTACTGCCACCCCTTCAGGACAAGAAATGCGGAGAGGTCCGAATAAGAAATTGAGCCAATCAGAAAAATTCCATATAACAATGATTGGCCCGGACAACCAGATCAGACACCAGACACACTCTCGCCCGTTGCGAAGCACAAATAATAATGCAGCTGTTAGTGAACTATTTCTCATGGCTAAGAAAAAAAGCGCATATCCGGACTTTGGCTTCGATCAAATACCGGAAATCTCGCTCGCTCATGCGGAAAATCGTGTGCATATGCATGTGTGCACATATCGGATATGTTGAATGGCGAGGATGATGGAGGGACCATTCAGCAGGACGTCACGATAACTCAAGACATCACCTAGGAGAGCTGAGCTGTCACTTTTCATAAAGAAGACAGGGAGGGGAGGGAGGCTTTATTGCGACGTGCAGTAGTGTGTGCCTCTGAAGGGCTTCTACACAGAAAGGGGGCGAAAAAATGGAGTGACAAAGAAGTCGTTCTCCAGGACATCTGTGTCTTTGCCTTTTCCACTTCCGTCTCTCTCTGCGTTCAAGCGTGTTCCAAACCATTTGAAAACAGGTGCTGCTGAGGCCAGGAAGTCATTTTGTCGCCATCGCTTCCAACCAGAAACGACGCATTGATGCATGCCATTCGTTTCGTAGAAAAAAGGCACATTCTAATCACGACGTGCCTCAACGACTCCTTATAACAGATTCTCACGCTGTTAAATGCCATCGTAACAACCTTCACTAAAAGCCCTTTCCCTCGCGACACATGAAATTAAGGCGCTCGCATTCTAATGGATGGCGCTCGTGCATTAATTATATATTTGTCATTAAAAAGACCAGAAACCAATGGATTGGATGGAGCGCCGAGAAAAACACGTTCATTTTTACCTTCAATTTTAGCTCACGCCCCATACGGCTGGCGGTAGCGATCAACACATCAATCGCTCCTCGTCACCCTCTTCCAAGGTCAATAGCAAAAGAACATCCTTTCAAGGTCTACGAGCGGGGCTCGTGCGCAATGGACAGTTACTATGAGGGGTTCGGTGGTCCCCCAGTGGTTGACGATTTCCCAGGCACCTGCCTGTAGAGACATTAATAGGTTCTTCCGAATGTGCGGAGGCATTGGACGGAAAGAAAGAGATTTGAAAAGTTTCTAAAACACGTGAGATCCCCAAGAAAAGCCTGCAAATTCTCCTGGAACTCACTGCCAAGCCAAGCTTCTCTATTGCCATCAAAGAACGCTTTTTCTATTCGATAATGAAAATGCATTACTTCGATTCATTCGACATTTCTTTCAGGCAGCAGACGATTGATTAGGTTTGCTCTTTACATCAACATATTAATACCAGTTATTAGATTGGCTAGTACAAAGCCTCTGGCACGTCATTTGTACTTGGACTAGGATTAGCAAGCACACTAAGTAATATCATTCACGGACGAAATACCACTTTATCGATCTGCTGTTAAAAATGGCGCCAACTCTGCTGCCATTCGGGAGCTTTCTTTTGGATAAGCCACAGAATCAATTCGATTAAAAATCGGGATTGAGATTGAATGCACCTTTTAGCAAAGGCATCTTTCAAATCCTCCAGGGATGATAACTGCGGTAAACCGAAATAGCCTCTAATTACGTGACCGAGAAGATAAGCAATTTAAGCAGCTAATCACAAAGTCTGCTTCGCTCCCAAAGACGTCATGAATCTCTTGAGTTTCTCGTTGCATTATTCACACTCATTATACTTTCATAGAACTGAACGAAGTTTTCTTTGCCAGTTGGAGTCCGCTTTCTCCAGTTCTCCGCCGAGCAGAAAAAAGACCTCCATGAATAGAGATAACTTCTCACATGATAAAGCACTATGCAAATTTGACAAGACACATAGTTCAGTGCGAAGAGCGCCTCTTCGCACCAGCACAGTCTTCTCGTTTGAGTCTCACATAGGGCAAACAAACCTTTGATCACTTTCCAGAGCATTTCTAGATTCCTGATGGAGTTCTAACGCACGGCGCACTCCAGACGGAACCACAATACCACGATGTCTGTATAGTCGAAATACCAAGGTGGTGTTAACATTCAAACGATGGCCGAAATCTCAAACTCGTCATCGCTTTTTCGCCGGCCGGTCCACAGCGGCAGGGGATGGCCTTGACGTCGTTGTTGTCACTTACGAACTTGGGTTCACGTCCTTGACGTTCCTTGAATGATCCAACTTCGGCCTACACAAGAACAAATACAGCTGTCCACGTGACGTTTCCGATCGCAGTGACAGGGAGTCGGCAGCCAAAGCTCGTTGATCATTGATGAGGTGGCGTGCGACGGACAACAGAGAAAAGGGGGACGTTACAGAACGTTGTATGTGAGGAAAAGGCAAAGATCAACGAGAAATCGGAGAGGATCATCCACAAGTGTTTGCGTCAGGCACACATCTACACACACACTTCATTCGCATAACACAAAACTCACACAAGGCTCTCGTGCTGTGAGTGGAGAGTTGAGAGCTTGCGAGCGGGTGTGTGTATGACGTCTCGGCTTCAAATATTACGGTAAACACAACCACAACAATCAATTTCCTGAATCTCATGGCCTTAACCACAAATGTGATATTTGCGGATACAAATCTGCATACAGCGCTCACTTCATCAAAGGAAACCTCCTGGACAAACTTTCTCGGAAATTTCTGTAATTCCGTCAAACTCGCTTCGACAGGACCGCCCTCTTGAGGACGAGTCGACTTCGGACGTATCACAGTACTGATAATCCACTTCGTCAACTTTTCCAAATTTTCGCTTTGCAACCATACCAACTCAGAAGCTAGAGTGCTTTGAAGTTTCCTGAAGGGAGTGTGTGCGGGTGGTAACAGTCGTAAAAAAGAATTGGGAACAAGGTATCCAACTTGTAAGGGCAAGAGCTGTGGTCTCCTACAATCACACCATCTCTCCCTTTCTCAAATACAGCACCATTAATACCTCAACCTTGCAGTTTAACAGGTAGGGAGATAGCCATCAATCTGTAGAACCTTTCAAATAATTTTCAAATTTGTCCCTAATGGGGATGGGGCCCGATTCCTTCTGGTTGCGAGTAGACTGGCTATGGACAAACTGGCGGTGTACACAGCAGAAAAACACGATTAGTCGCCAAGAGTACCTTTTAAAGGATCGATAAAGAGACAAAAAACGAGAGGAGCCTGCACTTTCAAGGTTTCTTCGCTAAGCAACGAATAGGCAAACAGCCCGATAATGAGTAATGGAGACGAATTCCATCCTCCAAGGGATCGGAAAACATATTACGACGTGACGGTAGGCGTTCAGTGTTTTTCCCATTTCCATCTCATTAAACAGACATTTCACCATCAATCATCGTCCGAAAAGGTAACCAGAACGGTTATGGGCAGAAAGAAAAGGTTATGAATCACTTTTGTATAAAAACAAAAGTCAATCTCCGTTGAATGAAAGGGAAAAAGTCATTTCACTGCACGGGAAGTGAATATCATTAAAAGTCTCATTAAAACCAAAGTGCTCTCGGAACGAATTAGAGTGTAAAACTTAAAACCAATCAGCTTTCAGTCCAACTCTATTCTCCCCGGGACCACAGCTAATTTGGGGTCAACCAGATGGTTTCTTCGAACCAATCTATAGTGCAAATGATTGCTAGCACCGCCGATTTGGGGAGCCTTCTGAGGTAATGGACCTTACAAACGCAATTAAATGAACAACTTTGTTTGAAATCGACCTATAAAGGTCAAAAGAAGGACTTGGTTCAATGACCTTTCCAGCTGGCCTAACACATGCCTCACTGCAGAACGGAAATGACAGGGACCTGGTATGGGAATTTTTGGTGTAGGCAATCTTACCCAAGCATAGGGCCAGGGAGCCGTTCCCATTTCAGACGTCACGTCACGTCATATGGTGATAGATGGNGATGGCAAGTTCAAGGAAGCCCTTCAAAAAAGGAGGAAATCGCAATGGAGTTGCTCCGCTTGAAAGCTGCTGATATTTTTGGAAAAACTGGTTCTCCCAAACGTTGTTAGGAATCCAATCAATCCTCAATACTTACACTTGTGGTTGTCGGAAGTGAGAGAGTGGGAGACGGGCGACAAGAGAGACATCATAAAGGCCCATCAACTAGCCGCTAGTTGCGCCATTCAACAACGGACAAAGTCATTCTCGATCGGTCTCCCAAGGTCGTCTCTGAGCGGTTATGGTGATTCGGTTCGATTCGGTGGCGGCAGCGGCAAGAAAAAAGCCCGATTAGGCCCACGGACGACCAGGAAAAAACGTGCACGACGGCGCATGGTTGAAGTGTAACAATTTGCGCAGCAAAGTGTGACATTCTTTCCGAACGAAAGATTCTTTCCACTGAGAAATGATGCATCATGCATGGAGAGGGAGAGAGAGAGTGAGAGGGGCGAGATGTGGGAGTGCACATTCAGCAGAAGTAGCTGCAGAGAAACAAAAAGTGCAAATACCACACAGCTGGCAAAGGACACCAAACAACTGTGAAGATGACGAGGCACGGGGTTCTACAAATCAGTCTTTGTCATCGGTGGCGGCACAAGAAAAACGCACAAGGAAGTAGGAGATAGAGGGAGAGAGATAAGAGAACATAGCCATTACAGCAGTTCGCCCGTCCTTGAGGCTGACAAACTGAGCAGAAAAAAAAACTCTGAACTCTAGCGATTATGGGCTGGTTGTGATAGAGATGGATGACCATCGCCGTCATTGATTCATCGTAATGGCAATAAATGATGCGTAAAAAAGTCGTAACGATGGAGGAATCATAAAGGGAACTGACCGTGCCTACGATAGCACCACCGGCGACGGTAGCACCAGCAGAGATAGTGCTGGCAACAGCTATCAGTGTGTTGTCCTTGGTTTTCTTGCTTGCCGAGCTCGCCTTATTCGGATCACGTCGCTTACGTCCTCGCTTCTTATCGCGTTTCGCACGACGTGCCTCTTTGCGAGTCTCGTGCTCAGCACGTCTTCTCGCTTTTTCTTCGCGACGTCGCGATGCCGCTTCCTGAAACAGGCGAATTTCATTTTGAGGGTGGATTTACCCTTAGGATTACTGTAATGCGCGCAAAACGTTTTATGTATTCTCATGAAATTAAAACATACTGTAGGCTATGCCAATTATTCTTCGTATTCCCACATAAATTCATAATATACATGGAAATGTAGCGCAATAAAACCTCCAGTGTAGGTCGAACCCTTCCTTAGGGAAACCTACCCACACAAACATCCACCAGATCCAACCTGCCCAAATTCATACTGTCCTCCTGATCCCAATACCATCCCATTAAACCTTAGTCTCACATCCCCACTCTTCGCTAAGAAGATTTAGCTCCTTATCCTAACCGTTCCAAGGAGCTTAAGCCTAACAGTTAAGTGAGCAAAATTTAAATAATCAATTCAAAGTGATCAAGAGTTTTATCTAAAACGATCGACTTCTAACTTTTACGCTCCTCCCACTCAGATTCCACGCGTGAAGACTAGGGAGACAGGATTTCGAGATGAAATCCAAAAAAAGCAATCGCCCAACGCGGCCCATTGACCACCTCTCTTGGGGTGCTAATCTATGCGACTTATTGATCGCTGGGGGAGTCCTGGGAAGTAACAGCTGCATCCGGGAAAGCAGCACAACGGCCTTTGAATTTCTTGTCTTAGAACTTTGAACTTTATCTGATGACATTTGCCGAAGAGACTTGCCGCGCTATCATTCTGGTAACACTTTTCAGACGGAACAAATAAAAAACGCTCTTACACTAACACACAGACACATCCACCCTGTTCAAGTACACCGGTCAACGTTGTAAAGTGGCAAGAACTGGGAACGTTGTTAAGCTGATTAGTCACTGATGCACTTGTGCGAATTTAAACTGTGACTGTCTCATAAGTCATGCATTACAACGTTAAACTCACACCACCAGTCCGAACGGCTCGTTTTTATTCTTTCTTCTTTGGGCCACTGATGGTTATCTATGGGTTTGTCGATGATATCGAAAAACCAAAGTTCCCTCCTATCATTAAGGGTAAATGATTGGAAACTCAATTAGGGGTTGGATAAAGGTCTTGCAGATGGGACGTGGGCAGAAATCTGAAAACCCACTCAGAACCACCCTGAGGCAGAATGACCGGTCAATAATAAGAGAAAAGAACCAGAAAAAACCGGGGAAACCCACAAATCCGGTCAAAATATGCAAGAGGTTCCGAAAAAGTTTTCGCTAAGTTCCACTAAACACGAACCTGCCTTTGGGAGCTCGGCTGACCTCAGGGAAATTCATTTTAGCGAATTTCTTGCCTATTTTAAGGAAAGTACAAATAAGAATTCATTATCTTCAGAGATACTCTCGGGTAATTGAATTCTTGACTCATACGCTTCTGCCATATATTTCGTAGGCCGAACACCCATGAAAAAACTCTCACAAACCCCAATGGGAGCCTAATGCACTGCGCAACTCAAAAAATAGATCGATCATACCCAGGTAGCTCGTAATCGTTGAAATATGAGGGCACTAGCAGTCATCGGCAGATGGAAAGTTCCAGAAATAGCATCTGAAAAGCTCATCAGAGCTCTAATCTCTGAGCTTCTGACGTCCCAACACTTCTTTTCCCCGCAATCAACCAATGGACTTGATGGATTGCCACCCGTTAAGCTGTCCTATTAGCTGTAAATCGGGCCTAATCAAGAAAACATCAACATGACCCAAATGGGAAATCAATAACCTCCTCTTCAACCGTCTGTTATATCCAGTTCTCCACCTATTCATGCTAAATTCCAATGATCACGTAGCAAAACACCTTATCACCACTTCAAAGCGCCCAACATTTTTTGCTATCATCTGATAACTCGCTGATCACACCACCTTTTTAGGATCGTAGTACTAAAAAGTTATGATACAGCTCATTGATTAGGACATTCCGTTTACCTTTTATGGTTACAAAAAACTTGTTTGCTAGAAAAACCAACCACAGGAACCCTTTGGGACGTTTCTGCTTATTATGATTATCGCAATCTGTGATATCAATAGGATGAAGGAATGTCATACACTAGTCAACCCCTCATGAATACGCCGTGCACTCCTCTCACATTTGAGAATGACCCAACCCCACAAGGGACTGGTATACTTTATGGTGGAAGCTGAGTTCAATTCAAGTATCCGCTAATACCAAGGGCAATTTGGCTCATGATGAGCTAGCCCCCATATGGGGGTGGCGCCTTCCCACATTCATGCGAGAGCGGTATTCAAAGGAGATAGTTTCCTGAACAGCAAAACTTCATAGAGGGATTCTCAAGCGAATAGGACGTCCTACTCAGATCTGCCGGATTCCTGACATGCAAATCGCTGGTCAGGCCTAACCATAAGGCCCAGTGAAATACCAGTATGGGCTGTCAGCCGGCCAAGCCTGAGCGCATCGATCAGTGAATAAGAAAAAGCTATTTTCCCGTCAATTTCCATTGGAATAATAGCCATCATCAAGCGCTTTCACTCAAGCAGACGCATAGCCCCTATTCAAGCGCTTTCGAAATAGCCGAATCCGGATGTGGACGAATAAAAAACGCTAGCAATTCTATGCAAGACCATCAATGAACGAATGAAGAATGGACGAAAAAAGAACAATAAAGTGGTGGAAAGCCGGGGCGATTCTCACCTGTGCAGCTTTCCACTGCCTTTTTAGCTCTTTGTCGACTACAACGACCTTTCCTGCTGCGGCTGCGGCTTTCTGGATTGCTTTCGCGTCTCGGATCGCTTTCTTCAGTAGACTATGCCGAGACTTCCGTTCACGACGTAGTTTCTCTCGTTTCTGACCACGTAGACGTTTACGTTGAAGACGTGCGGCTTTTTCGATTAGACGCTGCAAAGAAAGGCAGTTAGTTAATTCGATTACCAGCAATTCATTTTAAACTGAACGCTCATTGCGCGGTAGTTCAGAACGGAAAAACCGCACACAACGAGAACCGCGTGAACTCTTCATTTCATTACACCTCATTACGTAGGCAGCGGCAGTTAGTCAATTATCGTGAAATTCAATATAATAAATACATGCACATGTAGGCTAAAAGTAGAAAAAAGTTAATTGAATATGCTGAGAAAATGTCCAGATACAAAAGACGTCATTCTCCTTCGCAAAGCAATTCCCACCCACACCTACAGACTCCCACCATCGCTTAATTGATACCCGACTCCCCCAGGAAGGAAAAAACACTACCGCAAGTCGAAGTATGCGCCCAGAACCCATTTAGAGGCCATTTTGATGCAAAATAGAAAAACAGCTTGACTCAAAGAGATCGCTCGAATAAGATTGATTTCGTAGACAATGTACTAGGAAGAAATGTCCCTTGAGGAGACGGATATGGTGGGTTAATGGTGAAAGTCTGAAAACGAGTTCGAAGTTCGGTCAGGGCACCAATATACCAAACTTGTAAAAGAACTCCACTGAAAGGTTGGATAACCCATGAACCCTCATTGCGTCACACTCAAGACCGTTTTTGGCCACAACTGTACCCCTTACCTTGCCCCAGGACCCGAGCTTTATTTCAGTACAGAATCTGTAAAACTAATCTAATTCCTGTTTTATCAGTTTTTTCACCAAATCCTCTCGTAGCGTTCTTCGGATTGCGCCAGGCACGAACCTGACTTTAGAATCACAGAAGTCATTGAATGTGCCCTATGCCTGTACAGACTTGGGAAAATCAACGGGTATTCGAATAACTAGTTCTACTCTCAAAAAGAAGTTCGATATCACCCGGCAGGCTTCAGAACGACAGAAGGCTCAAGTGGACCTGAGGGGACTCGAGCTCTTTACCGTATGATTGACAAAAAAATTATCTTGGATTGCATCACATTAATGCGCTCAGAATTAAAAGATCATTAGACTAAAAATAAAACTGCCAACCAAGGTGCAAACGCCAAACATCAGAGATTTTGCACATGAATAGACTTATCAACAGTCTATCTCAAATGAAAAACAACGTCCACAAAAAGTGACAATAACCACTGTAATCGAATAATTTGATTAGGGTCGGACTATAATCCAATTTGCTGGTAACAACTGAATGGTTATAACGCATAGCGGTGTTATTCATGTTCGTAAAGTGAATTTGTTAGGCTTTTGGTCCATATACGATGTTCATACGGTTGCGGAACAAGGCAGAGGACGGATAGAAAATGAATATGTGTGGAACATCCTTATTAGGAGATATCACCAACTACAAACTACAATTATCAAGTACCTCTGTGTGAGTATTCCGCCTGCTATCCCGAAAAACTCAACCTGCTCGTATAATTGGTCATTACTAAACTATAATGAGTAACTAACGAGACTCAAGCGATTCCAGGTAAGTAATGCGATTCATGGAAACTACCAACAAGGGAGCAGTTAAAATACTTATATTTGAATAAGGAGCTCAAGGATGAGTTCGGGCCAAAATCACGATCGGTTAATAAGAAACGATGGCTTCTAAGGAGACGATGTATGACGCTGTCACAACAGAAACGGTCTGAAAGTGGCTCTGTAAGGGCTCGAAATTTGGTTGATACGTCTTTCACTCACCAGGAACGCCCACTGAAGGGCAACAAAACCAAACTTTGAGCACTTAGTGAACCATTTCCTGGACCAGGAGGTCGCAGTTTATTTCTAGCACCAATCTGCAGAATCGATGGGGTTTTGATTCTTCGGGAAGCATAAGGTCGGGGAGCGGCTAAGTCGCCTTCTCCAAGCAGTGAGCTTTGAATGCCACAACAGAGACAACCCCTTTGTCCTTAGACACTAAATCAGGCCATTGACCGTCTGCGAAACATAGAAGTAGTATCTTTCAAATTCGACAGCCTTTCCTATCAACCCGTGACGCTAGCAGTTTATCAAATCGGACAGGATCGGGTTTTGATAAGATATTTACGATGGCGACAGCCATAGACTCGAAAACAGTTCGGCGTGTACTGGTCCAATTGATAATTTGTATAGGGAAGAAGGAGGGATCGTTCTCACAGAGTGAACGCCCTTTTCCTTCTCGGACATTTCCTCCGATGAAATCGAATATGACTCTCCAAACATGCTCTTCGATGCCGTCGAAAGGATTATATTGAATCCTTCCTTGTTGAGAAGAGCCTAGAAAACATTGAGGCTTCCCGACGAGAATAGCTAATTCCTTCCGTCCGACCATGATCAGAAGCAAAAGATCACTCGGCCATGTGCCAAGCGCCGACATTCCCCGATTGTGTCAACAAAATGTTATCGATGAAGCATCGCTGTGTGTGTTGTGTGTCTGTGACGGCGGTTTCGCTGTCACAATGACCTCATCATCACCGCTGCTGCTGCTCCCGCTGATAACGGCTCTGTGCCACACCAAATGAAGGATGTAAAAGCGCTCGCAACTCTTATCAGTCAAGTCGATAGAACTATGCCTGAGCAAAGAAGAAATTGTCGTGAACAGAGGGGGAGAAGGGGCTGGCTATCTGCAGTAATGGACCTTAGCATATTCTTAGACGATTCTGAGACTGTGTCTAGTGTCTGGCCTAGCTCATCACCGCCCAATTTGCTTTCACTTTTCGTGATACAGTTTGCCTTGCCGAATGGTAACGAGGACCTAATTCCCGGGCAGATTCTTCCATTCGAGGCCCTCTTAAACTGAAAACTTTGATGACTTTCTTCAAATGCTGGCGTCTAAAGGACACTAGGGAACTATGGAGGCAACTAACGTTGGGCCAATAATTACTCAAACAAAAAGGCCATCTGCTTCAACACAACGGAAAACTTCTGGCTATATATAGCCAAAAACTTTCAGCGCTCTGCTGCTGCTCGGGACAGAATTGTGTATTCAGCGCATTTCCTGTGGCGTCTCTCGTAATTGCATTTTCATCAAGGGACAAGGGAGCCTAAGGGAATTCCGAGGTGACGGGAAGGGCTATCGAGCCAGAGATCGAATCCAATTTTTCACTTTCCGATTGAGGAACTCATACTCCCGAAGAGCATAAAGTAAGGCTCACCGAATGCAGAGATCCACCAATGTCGGCCACTGAATAATCAAAACTTTCCCTAATCACATGCCTTTAAATTCTAATTCAATCCCCTTAACTCAACCAAAAACCAGTTATCCCCGCGGGTACGGATGATCTTTGTTCCTATGAGTGCCACTCTCACCGTACACTGGACCGCTGAATAACAAATAACTCTTATCATTCAAATATTATTCCACAACATGCCATGTGAAAGGCATGTAACCCGTTGGGCAATGAATGCCGCCAAATGCCTTGCAGATCAGCTGTTCGCTGTAACAGGCGCCCCCAAGAGACCATATGTCATTCACAATATGCAAATGGCCGTCACAAACAGGCAGCCCAACGGGTCGCTTTGACGAATTCCGATCTTAAACAAAGCAGGGATTCCAACACTTCCGCTCCAATGGAGGGAAAAAAGCGTGTTTTTTCAGTGATGTATCTCCAGAGAGCAGCGTTTCCTCGGTTCAGCCGTTTCAATCATTCTCATGAAAGAAAGCAACGCCGCTGACAATTGCGCTTGACTAGGCCCAAAATATTGTGAACAATGAACGACTAAAATCCAAAAACAAAAAGGAAAACCAAGAGAAATATGGTCTGTCAGGCTGTAAAACCACCATGAACTGAACAAATAGCCAGTTGTTTAAATAATGTACAATGTGAGCTCCTTCTGACAAAAACCCGTGCGAAATCAACCAGCACTAAGTAAGTTCTGTACATCAAAGCCCTCTGAGTTCGCTCTCCTATGCCTGAAAGCGATAGTGGGCGAAGGTAACTCACGGGGAAATCCGTTGAGGTAGAGGTTGAAGCGGAGAAGGATGTGGGTGATACAATATGGAGGGCAAGTAAAGTTCATCAGTTCAGGAGGTCGAACATTTAAACACCTTGGGATCAGCCGTAGGCCCAAAAACAAAAACAAATCGATTTGGCTCCTTCGGAAAGGTAAACGATTTTGATATTTCCATGGCGACAACGCTTAATCCTAATCCATCCGCCCCAAATATACGATTTATGAACGCATATGATTGATACACGCAACCGAAAGAGAATAATCCGGATCAAAGATTATCGCAAGTGTTTGGAATTTACAATACCTGGGTATTAGGCGGGTAGACTTATCATACAATAATACCCATAATGCTCAAAAAAGGAGGAAACAGAAAAATCCAAAAAGGAGAACTGAAAATCCTTTTCGCTAGTGAAGAGCATGACCCGGTAAACTGACGAGCAATCTCTGGAACTTCGGCAATACTACTATTGGACCGATGGAAGTAAAAGGGACAGTCCTTAAAGGTTGCGACTGTACTATGAACCTTAACACTTATGTATCAACTCTTATAAGTTAGCACGCCTTTCGCGGAACTCCCTCTCACTCCTTTTCCTGTACCATGATCAGAACAACACTTCGAGCCATCGACAGGCCAGGAATTCGAAAAAGTACCCATCGAAAAAGTACCCAATCTCCTGAAGCGGCAAACTTGAGATAGAGCGAAGCTGCTTCCCATCCGTCATTCATGTCGAGACCCACCTTTAGATTCACTGTTTTGATGGGCACACCACTGAAACCTGTCAAAATCGCTCAAATAACCTTTTATGAACGGACCGATCGACGGTCGTACAGTCTACATTACAACATGGCCGTTGGAATGTGATGGAACCTTGGTTACGCATTTTTTCATCAAATCACCAATCATTTGTAACCTTGAAACCTTCCGTTATCATTTCAATCAACTCCTCTATAAAATCTATTTTTCTTCCGTCCGCCCCGTTGCCGACCGGTGTGATGGGAGGGAGGATGGCCGCTTGTTCGTTTTTGGAATGATGATCGATCACATTCTGTACAATGATACGACGTAGAAAGAAACTCAATAACAACTAAATCGCATTCCGTTGCACGTTTTTTTCCTTCCCGTTCACCCGTGCATACATCGCCGCCCTTGCACTTCTCGCCCATAATCATCATCGCTATGTGCCGCGCCATCGCCACTGACGACAACGACAACGACGACGACGACCGTTGTCATCTCGTCACGGCTCTGCGCATTCGATAACTTCCTAATCGTTTCTCGACAGGCACTTTCATCAACCTTTAACGATTGCACGAAAAAANAAAAAACCATGCAGCGCTCGCTGTCTGCACTTGCGGTCGAGCAAAGCATCACAATGGGGAATGGAATGAATCGAGGGACCTGGCACGAACCAGTGCCCATTCCAGAGATCCCATGAAAGTGTGTTTTTCAACTTCAAACATTACACTATGTACACAGGACAGTGTAATGCAAACAGTGCAGTATTTGAAAACGTCAGATGCCCAAGATCTCATGTGGGCCACGGGTGCCACAAAAATAGATGAGACTGCAGGGATTTCGAACAGCTGCTCGTTTCGAAGGGGAAAAAGAGAGGGAATACTGGGTTTTTCGCATGTTCGCTATTCCAAAGATACCAACTTGGGCCGGATCATGTACTTCACCCTTTCCAGTTAAGATCTAATCAGTGTTCCACATCAAAAGAAAACGTATGTCGAACACAGTCATACCTCTCAATATCAAGAAAGGAAGGATAAAATTGTTGATCTGGGGTGCGCCATGCACTCGTACAACATTAAAGCTCTCAGAAGGTCCAGCCGAGATTGTTGTTAGACTACCTCTATGAATTACGCTGAAGTTATGGCAAAGGTTATCACGCCACCTAATTTGTGCTCTCCCTTTCTGTGCAGAGCTATTATCCCTAACTAGGAAGCCCTCGCATTCCACTAATGGTTCCATCGAGTAATCAGGCGTGAAGCTCTCATAGTGTAACTACCCAATGGGTGGGATGTCAGCAAATTTGCTCTCGGAATTCTCAGAAATCAGGGAAGTATAAGAATGGAAAAATGAATTTAATTGTTTGGGCCTAGGCCGCTTCTCCCTCTTTCGTTTCGCATGGAACCGTCGTGGGCAAGTGGGAAACATTGCTCGACCATTAGCGTCATTTAGAGGGGGAAATGAAAGAAAATGCCATTCAACATATTATCAGAGCTCGATGCAAATGAACCCCGTAATCAAAGCTTTTTCTGGGGAATAAAAGGATGTCTGGAACGAAATGAAATGAGAAAAAGATTATCGGCAATTGTTGGAACTAAAGGCTATTACGTAGGTAGCTGTAAAATGTTTCACCTGTGGCAAACACCGCAAAAACTGTTCACGCCAATAACACGGGATGCTACGGTAGCTAATAAAAAACGCCCTGACGCAGGACGAATGCCTGCCCTTTCCCATACTCAGAAAAAAGCTGAATAGCACAAGTCACTAGATCGCGCCGCGAACTTCACATTCATTTGATATCGAAGTGACCCTCAACTACATATTAGGTCTGAACGATTTGTGTGAGCACACTGATGTTAGAACCACGATTTTCTCTCCACGTGAAGCCTCGGTCCCACTTCAACACCCCTCTCTGAAAATTTGATCTCGGACCAGAGAATCAGGTAGTCAGTCAGGTCTCCTTTAAGTCAATCGAGCCTGCCGTTTTTAGAAGGCGGAAGGCCTGATTGATTTGAGGGAGATCTGGTCCGAGAGTTAGTTCTCAGACCAGCCGTGGGGCAGTGAAACCATATGTTCATGTGAATTGCGGAAGTGAGCATGTGTGAAGAACAATTTTATTCGGGGCTCTCTAGGAGGGCCCGATCAGATTAGTTGTAATTCTTCATTCGGAAAACTGGAAGGGTAACATTAGTTTTCAACCGAGGAATCATTTCGAAAACAGGAAATAGGCATAGAAACGAGAAGATAATCCTAAACGAAGGTGAAGTACTTGGCGTACTTTGGTTCGACTCTGCCTTCATGCTTCATCCCCTCTTACGGAAGAAGGTCTTAAAGTTTGCAAGAAAAAAGCAACTGCATCCAACCTACCTACAACTCCGTAACACTTTGTTTACTTTTTTTGTTTACCATTACAAAAAGCCGCACCGCCGAAATTTAATGTTCTCTGTAAAAGTCAATAAGCGATGTCGTTCAAACCCGCTTTCCAGGTCAACATTGAATTTATTTGCCCTGCTGCAGTCAAGAATCCCTTGTAAGGGCAACCATTTTGATAAAAGTTCATACTACATTTACATCTCATGAAAAACCCTTTTAAACCAATCAAAAACACCCAAAGTACAGTATGATTAATCAACCAATCGTAGCGTGCCAATGCCCGAACTGGTTCCGCAGATCCCATAAACGAATTTCCGAGGCCATAAAAAAAACCTCGCCAAATGTGATGAATAACGACGACATAATCGACTAACGAGGTCCTTAGACGGCGAAAAAAGTGGTCGCTATGGCGCTGGGTATGGAAAAAGCAAAAGTCACATGAAGCGAAATGTCTTTAATGGAGTCCAATCGGGAACAGGGAATGGACTGAACTGAAAACGTTAGCCACGACGACTAGAGACTAATCGCAATCGCCAACGTAGGAAATTTCAATACACATGCTATCGGCGATTGATAACGAGCTCCTTGATCCGTTTATGCATCACACTTCCAAAGACGACGACAGATAGGACGAGCGAAATTGCAGGAAATATAGGGGGAACAAGGGACCAGGTATTGAAAGCATCCCGTAGGTTGTGCTCCTACTGGTAGCCATGAATGTTATGGGTTTTTAAACTGGTTTGCGTGAATACCCTACGTCCAGAATCATTTGTTTAAACCTCGAAAAAGGCACTTACGATGGCGGACGCCGGGAGCAATTCCGTCAAGTTTACTCAATCTCCACCATGGGTGGACCTACTGACACATTACCATGGTTACGAAGCTCAGTTCTGTGAATTATTCCCATCCCATATGTTGAATAAATCATTAATTGACATCAGATTAGCCAAACCAGGATATCGGTTTGGCTAATCTGATGTCACTCTGATGGGCTTTGGGTTCGACAAGGAAATAGCGAGATGAGACAACTAGCAAAGAATCGCTGCTGCTCGAGACTACACACCTCCCCAGCTCTTTCTCCCTGTACGTTCTTTTAGAATGCCGTACCTTTCACTAACTTCAGGAATGAGTAATTCGAGGGAAAAGAGGCACCTAACAGGGACCGTAATCTTTACAATAGAAAGGTTTTCGAGCTAAAAGTCTTGTTTATTTGGAGAAAGCTGCTCCTTTAGAAAATAGCACATTAATATGCGACCAGTGCCTATAAAAAATTGACGCAGCGATAAACATAACGCGATAATGACGCACGTGCACACATGTTCTGTTTGCAGGTGATCCGATCGCAAAAACGAAAGATCAATGCGATTGTCTAGGGAAACCCTGAATTGTCACCACTGAAAAACAGCTCCTTTCAGACTCTCACACCATCCTTACGTCACAGCTTCATGGAAGCACGCCTAAATGATATTCCCAGACTACCGACAGGCCTATTAAGAACAACCTTCGAAGAATGGCATGCTGTAATTATCCAAAAACTCTAAGAACATGGGATTTCACTAAAAGAAACGTGATTCAGACAGAACAATTCCACGATAATTACTTACTGGGAATATTCTCTGTAGAGAAGCCAAAAACAAAATCAGAAGGACCGCAAGGACGTTTCCAGAAGAGAAACGTCAAAGTTGAGAAATTAATGCAGAATGCTGTAGTAAGGCGACAGCATGGCCAAAAATGGGTAATGGTTATTCCTAAAGCTGCAAATCTGAACGATCATCCTGCAAAGGTATGATCAACCCAATGGTGTTTATTTCGGACAAACTTTCTGCCAAAATGGTCGGGTTGTGAAAAGTATTTGGCTCATGAATCTTCTTCCCATAGGTCTACAAACCCCGCTACCCGCAGATTGCTGGACTCGAGAGTTTTCCAATGAGAAGGTGACCCGCTTCCTTTTCTCCCACTCGAATAACCCCGGTAGACCCCTAAAAGCGTACCGTAATTTGTCATGAACTTGCTTCACTGCACATTTCCTGGGGAGTCCAGCAATCTGTGTGCCGCCGATCAATCTCACTTCCTACCCGGACAAAAAAAAAACGCCCAAACAAAGCGCTTGCTGATAAAACAAACCACAAAGATCACATGGACCCTCCGGAGGCTGGCGTGCAAACAATTGTCGAAACTTTCATTGATGTTGCGCATATTTCAGAATTCGTTTCAAAGAGCGGGCATTCCATCAGATATGACTTAATGAGAGGCAACCCTTTTCTATCGTTGGGACCCTATCATAGTCCCAAAGGTCAAGAAAAACATTTAAAAGTTTGAGTCATGGAAATTTTAAGTAATATCCAACAGTTTTGGTCCCCTGTTTACCATAAAGCCCAGTCTGGAAATGTTACGACAGGCTAAAGTTTAACCCCAAGGCTACTGGTTCATCCGTGGGCCTCAGCTTTCGATTTGCAAGAGAGCAAAGGAGGAAAAACGAAGGGTGGAACTTCTCTGTGCTACACTCTAGCTTTCAACATCTGCAGCTGTTGGAAAAAGAGAGTTTAATACGGCTGAATGGATTATGTCAGCAGAAAAAGAAATGAATTTTCAGCAAAAACATCCAGACAGCCGCGGTTGCCGCGAAACGCAACGACGCTGCTGGCCAATTGCCACGTATTTTAACAAATTCCTCCCTCCATACTGCACTTTGCTCACAGACTACAATTTCCGTGACTTTCACAAGCAATTCTGTTACACTTTTACAAAAAAACTAAATGAACTTTCAGACAGCTATTAGTTGGAACGTACCCGAGTGAACACAGAGAACGAAAATATGTTACTGCTTCTAAAATTACTAGTACCGGTACATCGTCCTGAGTAATTCGAGAAAAGATCCAGGGAGAAATGCGCGCAGAAGGTTCTTTTTCAAGGGGCTTCCTCCTTTCGAATCTTTATAATGTTGCTCGAAGCCGATTTCCGGGACCGGTGTTTGATGGGTGTAGGGTTCCGAGGGTTTGTATGACCCCCATCCAGCCAGTTTATTCTGTGAAATTATGACGGACAGAGAGTCGATGGACGATTTCACGCCATGCTTGTGAACGCACATATGAAGATACTCCAAGTACATTTTCTCTGACCGCTTCTTGAATCCCAGCCCAACCTTACACAGCTTAGGATTTGTCTATGTCATCATCCAAGCCACACCCATACTTCCTATCCCACAACCTTGGTTATTTATATTGTGACTGTTTTGTGTACTGTATGTACACTTGTTTATTGAGTGTTTAGCACTGAAACCGTGTGTCCTTGAAAGCAGTAATTCAGTGCTACACAATATCGAGTCGAACGTGACCCAATATGAAGTCAGTGGGAATGATTCAGCAAAACTGCACGTTCTCCATTCTTGAACTAGAGATAAGAAGAATACTGCAAAGTAAATTTGTGAAAAAATTTGACTTGTGCTGATTACTGCAAATGGGGCAGCAACAGGGCAACACTAAGCAAGACTACGCCTCAGACGTTGTGCCATACCCACTTTCCAGTCACAAACGAGGAAGAGATGGTTTTCTGCCCAACATTAAATGCTACCAACTCATTAACAGCCTACCACATCATTCAACTCTTTGGATAGGATCCAGACTGGGAACTCTCCTTTGATGGGATTCTCTGCTAAACCTTTCAGCCGCAACTCCAAAGTTCAAACGAAACTAGAAAGACAACTTCAAGAGTTCCAAATGTTCCATGGTGCAAACTCACGAATAATCCCCTCTGAGAGGTTTACTCGATTAAAAGACCTTAATCTTCTGTAAACTGGTCGTACCTACGGTAAGCACAAAAAAATTTCAAAGATTGCTCCAGAGCAGGGACTAGACGGAATTGGCAAGCGATCCCGAAGAGTGGCTCCCCCTTTCTGGGGACGGAATTCGCCTTTTGCTGTCTTTTACTTCACAGCCGAGAACGGGAAGTTCAAAACCGACTTAACCGCTTCTTTGACCCATACCATCAGGCACTTGACCTAATACCCGAACACCTCATGATTGTACCTCTCTGGTATCACCTCATTTCCAGGTACTAGGCTCATTCCCGGATTCGCAAAGGGGAGTGTAGGGAGTGTCATAAACAGGGGCAGATGAAAATTACTGAGCCAGGAATTCTGAATCATAGCCCATAGCATTATCGACGAATAAGTGTGATGCTGAAAAAAAAAACCGGCGCCGGCCAAAGCACAAAAAAAACGTCATTTACAGCTGTGTGTGACGACCATTAAAAGGCATTGTCGCCACAGAATTCACAGAACATTCACAATACAAAACGCACACACACACCTCTCTCACACACACCCACACCCACATGAATGCCATGTGTCTGAATAGCTCGGGCATCTCTAAACAAAAGGGCGATACGATTAAACTAGAAAAAGGGCAGGGCGATGATGGCGACGACGAAACATCATCGACAATCGTCAGGGGGGAAATGAAGCATTGAAAATTGCCACTTATTCGAATCGAAGCTATTCAACAAATGCTGTCGGATTGACAGCGGCTACTGAAAAGTAGCCATACAGGTAATTAGGGAAAAACGCTTGTGGGGAACCCTGTAAGAAAGCATCATAATCAAGTTGGTCAGGGAAGCAGCTAGATAAAAATAGAAGAATCCAAAACCCTACTGAAGCTTTCGCTGTATGAAATTGATCGGATAATGAAAAGAGGAGGGGGGAGGGGGGTTCTAAAAAAGCAGGTCTCATCTTGAGCCGTCAGACTGAGCATGATCGAGAATGATGGAACCACTTCTGGCATGACGAGAAATTCTCGAGGGAGTGGGGGCGTCTGACGAGCGATTTCCCTCGACACCAAACTCGACCATGGGTCTACTGGGATCAAAAACAGTTGGAAGGGTAGGTAAAAAAGATCCTGACCCTTACCTCCTACCTCTACCTACCTGAAAATCACTGCAGCACTATAAGGTAGATTTTTACAAGACAAACCAAATAAATTCAGAAGAAGGGTGAAAAAAAAAAGACTCGGAGCGGTAACTCCAATCTCATATCAACGAAATAGTTCTTGGACAATGTCTCAAAGATTCTCAAGCTTCCTATTTGTCATTCCTTTTCGCATTCCCTGTTGCTGCGTTCCAGGGCCATTTCAATGACCTCGTTCCATCATTTTTGATTATCCTTCAATTTCCCCGGCCAACTCCACTGCTATGGCCTTAGATTTCTGTCGAAGCTCCGCGTGTACAGTGAGAAATGCACCATAAATAAATAATTCATAGTAATTAAGCTGAAAAAATAACTGAAATAAAATTCTAAGCCGTTTGTAAACACCTAAACAAAATCCAATGTAAAATTATGAGAAGAAGACAACATGAAAAGTCTGTCTAAAAGGAAACTGAACGACAAACTGAGTAACTGGCTGCCTACGAGGTAATTTATTAGTACATCTGAGGAACTATCGGGAAACGCTAAGGAAAAGCCACGTACCTTTTTCGAGCGGATCTTTCGTTTTAATTTTTCAATTCGTATCGCTTTCTCAGCTGCTAATCGTTTCTTTTCGATTTCTTCTCGTGCACGTACCGCTTCCAATTCTTTCTCAAAAACCTAAATAGCAAAATGAATAATTAATCATCCGAAAAAGGTCAATAGGAAATATTCCCGAAATACAGTATGATCTTTGAAAAAAGAATGAATTATTACACCGCTATGTCAGAGAACCATTTGATGAATGAACCAATAAGTGAGAAAAAACGTCATGACTGGTCCTTTTCGGGAAGGTTCTGACAGTTTCGAACTGTAAAGTGTAAAGTACAAATAACTTTTACTCAACACATACCGCAAAGATTCAAAAGGGAGTTGATCATCGATGAATGAACCTCTCACACCCAACAAACCTTCCTTTTTCCTTAAATTTCCTCATTCTAGAGCTACTTAACTTTTAATGTGAACGCTATTCCAATATTTCCTCTCGAAAAAGCCTCAAGCCAATTTAGCCAATTCAATTCCATTAACTGAGTCATTTAAAGAAAAAAGGCTGCATTCGCCGAAAGGCACTCTTTTAGAAACCCGCGATTATAAATTCATAGCCTATTTCAGACTTTCAAGGCATTTTTAAGTCAGAAAGGAGTGATTCGCAACTATCTATGATTTCCCACGGGGGTTTATCCCCAGACAGTTTCTATACAACTTAGGATCTTCAGGAAAACGGGGAAATTTGAAAGGGGAGAACAAGCACTTATTCGAGTAGGTTTTTCTAAAAATTTATTACGACGACTGCATGGGTTGGAGGGATGTTTATGCAGAAAAAAGGAGTTCTTTGCAGCCAAATTTAAAAAAACAGGATATTGAATAACAGTAGTCCAAGATAAAAAAACTCGCAGAAAAAAAAACCTACAAACTCACTGAATCTGAGGTAAAATTAGAAGTTAGAACCAATAACATCACTAAATTTCGTAATTAAAGTAGAAAAAAAGCTGTAAATGTCGAATAGAGACCAACACTGGGACTAAAAGGAACGGGACCTCAAAAAAAAAAAAAAGAAAAATAGAAGTAAAATTAGGAAACCTTTAAGCGCATGCTTAGTAGACGTATCAGAACCATCAGATCAATGGCTGAAAACTCAAGGATTCGATAGGCCGACCTATTCTATCGGAAGGGACACACTCCCCCTCTTGGGTACTGAATCCTACATATCGTAAAAAGGCGACACAACACTCTTATCCACTACTTCTACACTCTTTTAGAAAACGTGCAATCTCGCTATGCCCAATGATGACAAAAACACAGTATTAGATCAGTGTACTGATTGGTATGAGCTATCCCACAGTGTTTATTGGTAGAACGAGAAGATTCTTTTCATATTTCGACCACGTTTTTCAGCACCTATCATTGCCCTTTAGCTGCCAAGGACACTTCTTCACATGTTTGTTATCGGCCTTTTTTTGCCTCACTTTAAACTCTGCAGTGCAATCTATGGCGTAGCAAAACACCGCCGCAAACCAAAAAAGTGATTTATTGAGTCTGAAACTCTTCAGATCCAAAAAAAGGGTTTCATTAACAATTCGATGACTCAGCTGTTTCCATACGAAACCAGTTCAACCTCTTATGGCCTCGGCAAAATAATCATTTTCCGATTTACAAAGAAGTAGGAACCCAACAGGCACCTGGAAAAATTATTCCTGTGCACCCTGGGAAGCTTTCCAGAAGAGAAATAGACGAAGCAAAATTTATTTAAAACCGCAATTAGTATAATTGTTATAAGTTCACTTGTACTATAAAAAAGACGCAACCTAAAGGATACTGTAGCCACCACACCTCCCGCTGAGCCCATTTTCAACATTCTCGATACGGTATTGTACAGTAAGTGCTCAGGTTTCCTGTCCCCACAATATTACCGGCTCCTACAGATCTCTTACTCAACTCTTCCTTTTGGAAATTACAAGCGATATGATATGAAATCGAATGAAAAACGGTTCTGATGGAACAGAGTAATCCCCAGAAAAACAGAAAGGATTGAGACTTTCCAAAGGTCGTATGGCTGAAAGCAGGCATTCCTCCCCCAGTGCATTCTACGTGCTTCTGGGATATTCCGTCATCCCACAACATCACTACTCTACAGTAAGCTTCTGTTGATTCGTACTATAACAATACTTCCCTAGGAGGCTCTTCGACTTTGAAGATTTCCATTTATCCCTGCTAATCTGCTCAACAGATGAGATATTGAGGACTAGATTCTATTTTAGGAAAATTGCAAAACTACCTAAAATTAGGCTTGGCCAGTGGGCCTAACTTCGACACCAGATCTAACCATAAGAATTGATCCTGCGGGGAATGAACCTCTGAATTGCGCGCTTACAAACGTGGGCCGACACTCTGCCCTGCTAAACAGTTTTTTTGGGAATTCGAGAGAGGGAAAATGCCACTGCAAGGATCGATGAGCTTCCCAGAACTAATTAGGGCTCGAATGCAAGCAGACATGAACTCGTTATCCTTCTCATCTTTCCAGGAACTCTTGTTATGCTAATTTGTTCCAATTTCTTTTAGTACAGAGAAAGCGATAGCGACATTCATCAAATTTATAAATATCAAGGGGATGTATGGGTAATTGGTAATCGGAAAGCTAGGAAGGGAACGATACCAGGGGATCACACAAATACACACCTGCTCCCACATAAATTCTCGAGAACAGGGTGCCCCTGCGTCAGTCACGTGAGTCTGCTAGCGTCGAAAATAATATTGTTACAATAAAACAAATCTCAAAATAAATCTGCTAACAGCTGTTCAATGAGCTCAACGGAATTTAAAGTTGACAGAACAGCTGACTTTCGTGCCTCTTTGAAACTCTACACAAAAACAGACAACCAGGTTTCCGGTGCATGGGACCGGCATTGTTTACAAATGAGCTCCCTATTCATCCCTTCGTAAGGATCGCTGAATTTCACAAAGCATGAACTAGCCATAAACTGATAAAGGTCAGTACAATATGCACTCTGGATCAACCCCTCTTCTGAGTTTCAGGCCAAAAAACCAAAGGGCCATTCAGTGTGCTGACTCTTCCGAAAAAAGGGACCAATACAATGAAAGTGTTGAATTGGAACCGATCCAGTTACGAGAACAGGTTTTAAATGATTACAACCACAAAATACGATAAGATTGGTTCTGCCGATTACTCGAGAGGTCTCGAGGAAGGACTTTGGTCTATGGGAAATCGATATATAGCATTGTCGTGGCGAAATACGGTCGGAAATGTGCAACGGGAACTTGAAGTCTGAAGTCTGCCCTCCTCCCATTCCCTAATACTGACGAGGAGCAAAAAAGACTTGGGGGTCTGATGGACCCCGAGTTTTTTTGAACTAATCTAAATTGCATTTATCGTGATAATGCCGTAAACTGACCTCATGAAGGTCAACGTTCCTTGTCATTATATTATCTACAGAACCTAGGAAATCATGAGCTGTGCCGCCAAATCGAAGACCAAAACGAATGGTTTCTGAAGCTGATAAGGACATCACGGAAGTATTCAATAACCAGAGGGGCTCAATTCATCAACAAAGCATTTTTTCAAAAAGCCCCAACTCAACTTTTCACAACTCCTTTGAAAGCTTATTAAGAAATTTAACGACAGCTCAAAAGGCATCTCTATGTTCAGCTGTCAGGAATTTCGTAACACCGGAATATGGGCTAATTTCACATTTCAATGCAGGAAAGAGCGTTTCAAGGGAATTCCCTTGTTGGTTTAGTTTACGAACAGCTTTTCTACACCTAAACCAGTCTAGTGAATCTTACAAGGCAGAAAGGCTTGCGATCCGTCTTCATAGAATCAGATGTTGTCAGACCTTTGGCAGTGAAAGCAGAATACTCGGGAAAGGAACTTGATTCAGCACAAACATAAAAACCGAACTTAGAGTTTTTTCAACGAGTTTGTATAGTTTTCCGTAAGTTTACTCCCAAGCCACTCTGCCACTCTACTGAGCCCTTCAGGACAGGGCTTCACTTTCAGGCGTTGCGTATCGAATTTCACTTTCGTTCCCTTCAAGGGCCTATTTATAGAAATAGCTTCCCACTCCACCAGTGCCCTTTAACACTCAGCCGTCTTCAATGTGTGCCTTGTTCATTCGTAAACAACGCAAACTGAAGTGACAATTAAACAAACATTGGGAAAAAACCCGACAAATCACGTGAAGTTGGAACGCTTTCAAATTGCATTCATATTTTGCATTATTAAATTTCTATAATTTAATATTTTATACTTTAGGACAGGAAAATAGCCTAAATTAAATTTCAATCCCCGAAAAATTTAATTTCACAAGTAAATTAACACGTAACTAGTTTTTCGCTTCTATAGTGCCTTTGAAACCCCATGAGGCTTTATTACGCAGAAGTCCTTCCGGAATTCTATTTGTTTCGAGAAAGCACATATATATAGGGGAACCAAAAGAAGAAAACTGACGAGGACCGAAAAAGGACGAAAAAAAAAACGAGAAAAATCGCCAAGTTCCCAATAACACGGAGAATGAGGTGTAGCGGCAAGAAGCGCACTGTCACACACTCATGATTCGAGGATCGAAAACCTCCACTCATGCCGGCCCACGCTAACCGAGTCTTCTATCATCCGGGTAACTGGTAGCAGATTCCGGGTAAATGGTAGCAGACTCGTCTGGGAGGAAAAAAATGACTGTTTTGTAAATCGGCTGGCCCCTCAAGCCTTGTATGGGCCGAATACGCATTCATCACATCACTACGATTCTGAATACAAGTTGAATGACAGTGGCGCATTCCAGAAAAAGATGAGTGGACGTCAAAGGCTCCATCATTTTCTTTCCAATGTTTGCCCAGTAACAAAGCTTCCCCTGGCCAGGGTGACCAAGTATATTCATAATTTTCGTGTGATTTCAAAGAGAATATGAAGTCGCAAACGAAGGATGTGCTACCGAACCCAGTTTGGCAATCGCAATCTACACGGGACTTCCTCTGACCACTCCTTATCGGAAAGACTTCTTATGCCAGGACGTCAACATTATCAGCAGACCAAAAGACAGCTGCTGACGTTTTTTTTCCGGAATGACACAAGAAGCATGCAATATGAAGCACAGGAGTCACGTACGAAAGCCATATATAGGCAATGGACGCGAGCTATTCATCAAAGGGCATGACAAGAGAAAAACTTTTTGATATTTCATTCATTCAGTTCCATTCGAAACCCTTTTTTGAAATATGAAATAGCGGATGTAACGTCTGCACTTTGACGAAATTAGATCCTGCAAGGGACTGCAACACCCCTGCAATTCATTCCGCTACTGAACCAAGTAGATTTATTCCTATAACTTGAGGCTGGGGAGGATGCAATACGACCACATGATAAACTCGATTTCGGGGAACTGGATATGTCCGTGGGTTGATCATCTGGCCTTGAAAATATTGTTCGTTGTTTGAAACTATTGACTGGTACAAAGGGATTGGGGGTTTTATCGAATGCTCAATTTTTTTTTTCAAAATTGCTCCTTGAAGTTGCTTTGACTTGATGTTAACTGTTATTTGCTGGGTCGCGGTAGTGTAAGGGATAAAGAGCGCGTTTCCGGAAGAATACACGTACGGGTTCGGGTCCCGTCCGAAGCCAATGTTTTAACCAGTACTCACCAACTTAGTGAAACTCCTTGGAGTCTTGATAAGTATCAAAAAGTAGGTTTGGAAGCGGTCGATCAATAACCACACCCAACACCGTAATACCCGATCCCGCAAGCATCGGTTCCATGACTTTGCCCATGTCGGGATATGTGAGATCTCTGCAGTTGCTGAACTGCTTCTGAGCATAGTCTTCAAACATCTCCGAGTAATTTCCTTGGCTTCTTTTTCACGGTGATCTTTGAGAGTAAACTCTCTCAGTGTAAAATTATCAAGATTTCAAGACCTCTCTTGGAAGCATCTAAAAAATTCTTCCATCAGAATTGCGTAAGGATGGTAAGGGCGTCAAATTTGCTCTGAAGAACGCTTTCGGCAACAACACAAACGTCATCATAAGACAAAATTCGAAAAATTGCTAAATTTGTAGTGAGGTTTTTGGGAAGCTGGTCAAGGCCTCGTACTGAATAGACTTGCTGCCGAACGACTTTAGGATCCCCTCGACTACTCAATTGTACGACCTTGTGTAGTCATTCTTGCCTATTCGTTATTCTGTATTTACGATATGTGTTTACATTTGCACCGGTGCTATTCTGCTAATAGACTCTTATAAGCCATTCGGGTCCTCACACTTCCTCTCCATCTCTTCCAAATTGCAACAGAATCAAATATATTGTCTGGGAGCATATCAATTTCGCAGTTTTTGAGTACCTAGTCTTTCTCCCACGAAGTCAAGGAATTCAAGCGATATATGAACCAAAAACTCCCATATGGAAAACTCTAGTATGTACCTCGAAGAACCCCAAGAAGTTACGCAGCAGAAAAAAGCCTTCACACAATAGGGGTCCAGCAACATATTCGATTACGACATGCCTTTTGACAAAAGGGAATTCTAAGATTTTTTTCAAATTATCAATTATTTGACTAAGCTAACTATTAAAACAGAACACCCTAGCTTTTTTTATTTTTGCATTGCTTTATACAGTTTCTCGAATTTCGGACAAATTAGACTGCTATTCCTTGAGTCTGACATTTTTTGTTGATTTCTTACGTCACTTTGGGAAATATTGGAGTTTTCCAGGATTTCGGAAAGTTCTTTCCGTGGCCTAGCCGTGACAGTGAAGACAAGAACTTTCCGTGTCTAGAAAGCCCCGTGTTTTCCCGAAGATTTGAAAACTAAGGAAGGCGAAGTGGTTCTGTAAAAAGCTTCATTAGTTGTTAGAGAGCAAGAGCTTATAATGTCCCACCCCAACCACTTGCTTTCAGAGACAGAGCTCGACAATCGGAATGGCTCTACTGGTTAGGCCCTTTGATCTGTAAGGAGTAAAGCAGTAAATATATATCATTGTCATGTGGTCTGCAAATGGCGTAAAAAGAGGTCAAACATTTCTACATCGACGGGCGTGGTTTTCGAGAATTGAGTTTTCACTGTATAGTTTCCAGAACCACACAATGCAACGCCATTGATAGACTAGGCAGAGACCTTTACAGCACATGACTTGCAGAGGGAATCGGGCAGTAATCAGTCGCTTTAAACCATCCTTGAGCGAAGTTCACCAGTCTGATTTTTTTCACTCAACTTTACCACCATACGTCATAGTGGCTATTGTGTAGTGTTTATCCAGACCAAAACAATTGGGGAGCTGTGGTAACTGGTACAGGAATCCTGATCAGCATTCTCTGTGCAGAAGTAGTATTTGCCATTTCCATTGTTCACATTGGTTGTACGATGTTGGGAACTGTTTCCTTATATAGTGATTACGATGTTGACGAGGAGGGTTGCTTTCCACTTTCAATGGACTCCCCATTGATGTTGGCCTCAAAAGGGTACGACGTTGTGCCTTAGATAAGACCAATCCTTCTGAGGACAACTCGTCAATGGGACTTACGCTGCTGTCTCAGATGGAGGAAACTGAGCGTGTTTTTTACCTTTTGAGTTGAACATTTGGTTTTCCTTCAATGTCATTACTACTCACTTCTATGATTGGTGAAAAGGAAACTAATTGCTAACCAGGGAAGGGTAGTCTACTTATCTTGGAACTTTAAATGGAGACCCAGATGGATCGATAGAGTTCTGAATGCTGTTTACGAAAATGGAAATTAAAACTGCAAAATGGTTCTCCTTAAAAAGTTATGGGGGCCCACATTTCGCTCGACAGTAGTATCAATTGGAATTGCGAACTCGTCGCTTCCACATCAAACGCCCACGGGACCTAGTGGTAGTGGTCTCGCTTCGTGGGCGTACAACGAGGGGTACTTCCCCGCCATTGTCCGCACTTTTGCAAAGTGTTTTTTCATTTTATCAAAGGCTCTCTAAACGTTTTCTGACATTTCTTTAGACAATTGATACTACTGTCGAGCAAAATTCGGGCCCCCATAACTTTTTAAAGAGAATCATTTTGCAGTTTTAGTTTCCATTTTCGTAAACAGCATTCAAAACTCTATCGATTTATCTGGGTCTGAATTCAAAGTTCCAAGATAAGTAGACT